AGGTATACAGAAGCATATCTATAGGTACAGATTCATGCAAGAAACAGGCTCTGCTACCATTTTATAAACCTGCAATATTAAATTTAGTCATCAAAATCAATAGACTAGAACATTACCAGTCAATACTATTAGCGTCGCAATCACTAAAACAAATTAAATTGAGCCTCAGAGCACAAATTAGTACGAGGTATCTCAAAGTAGCACAGAGTCACAAATCTATAGGGGAAGATTAGGAAAGGTTTTGCTAGAAACATACATTTTTAGTATCATAATTTCACGTGTACAGTCATCCAAAGCAAGAAACAAATGATCTGATCAAGTTTTTTTTTACTGAAACGTAATCTAAAATATATAAAAGCAGGTTCTGGACATCGGCAATCTCAGTGAGCTTTGCATTTAAGTTGCTGCTCTTGGGCTTTTGCAGGAACTTCGGTGCTGCGTTTTCAGTTTGATTTGATAATTACCATAGCAACCAACTGTATCCAGGACACTCTGATGGCACATGGACACAGAAATATGATTATCCTGGTTTCTCTGCGTGAAGGTAAACGCCATATCCAGAATACTGTCATAAATGGGATACGAATATCTGGGTAGCTTTTAAACATCCCGTGAAATATCTGGGCAAATTGAACTATAAAATAATTCACAGCCAATAAATAAACCTGATCGAAATGTTCAACATTAGCAAGTTTTAGACATGTAAAAGTTATGTCCTATGTCAGTGGTATTAGGAAGATATAGATTAAATATTAAGGCAGTTAATCTATATATTTTTAATTGAAAACACTGTATTTTAGTTAAAAAATGTCAAATTACACAATAAACTACTCTAATAAGTACAATTAAACCTGGAATTATAATAGGAATTAATTTAATTTGTGGGAGTCCCAGCTTGGTTATGGGTGTCTTGTTTGTGAACCCATGTCCAAAGTAAAATATTTTTAGAGAATAACGAGGAGACTAGTTGTTAGCAGAAATAAAATTGAAAAAAATTATCAATATTGCCCACACAAAGGTTTGGTGCATTACAGAAATTGACTCTTTTTTTTCATGAAGAGCAACCAATGGCTGATAATCTCTGCCAATATTTTTGGGCCAACATGTGGGGCGAATTTCGATTATTTTTCCCAAATTATGCCATTTTTAAATTTACTGCAAGCTCGCCTACAGCCCTTTTCTAACCACAAACCTTTAAGAGAGCTGTGTAGTCACGTTTTGTCCAGTTTTCTCTTGGTATTTAAGTGTTAAAATAAAGCTTTGTGTGTGTTTTCTTAGGCAGTGAATCGGCTGAAACAAAATGTCGACCTGTGCTGGAGATTTAAGGCTGATTGTCGACGCTAAAAAGTCAAAATATCAAAAGCCAAGAGATATATCAGTCTATCTATAGTGCATGATGAGCAAATTAAATACAAATAGAATAAAATTGTAATATAAGATTTGGAATTATTGGCAATCTTAGCCTTATTTCTTTGTCATAAGTTTAAGAGCCCATGTCTTACATAAAAATATTATTAAAGAATCACTTACAGACTAGTTCTTATTAGCAGGGTTGAACATTCACTGTATATATTTAACAGAGTACCTTTACTAATCCTGAAGTCCCAATAATCAACAATATCCACTTCTTTTTCTGTGGATATTTTGCAGATTAAAGTGAGTGAGCTCTGACCAAGCACAAAGTCATACACATGGATCATTCTCAGCTACAGCCTTGACATACATCGACTATGAGATAATTTTTCTTCTCTGTTTATTGCATCAACCATCATTTTTCAAGGTCAATTGGCAAAGGCTTTGATTAAATTGAACAGATAAATAGTACTATTCAGAGTAACTAATGTTGTTTTTATTGTTCCCTGCGATAAACACGTCCTATACGCCATGTTGTGCTTTTGTAAATGAACAGGTTACATAATTTCAGATGGAGAGCACGGTTTTAGAAAAAAATCTGCAAATTTATGAGCCACAAATGTTGAACCTTATCATTATTTGCTCCATTATTTGACTCCAGTGCTACAGATGCACCAAGACTTTACTGCTAGGGATGCATCAAGACCTTTAAACTAAACTAAAATGAAATAAAATAAAATACAACTGATCCGTAGACATTATGTAGTTGTATTTATCCAACCAGTGATGACAGAACAACTATGTAAATAAACATTCAAACATTAATTGACTTTCTGGGCCGACTACGATCAGTAAATGGTCTCATTACATCAATATACATGTCCAACCAGGATATTGATTGAACCGAAATTAGGAAATCGATATCCAATCCAGCAAATTTTTCAGTTTTAGCGCCGATACCCAACACCAGTATCAATCAGTGCATCCCTAAACTCCACAAACTTATCTAATTACATGGATTAAATTCCGTTTCAACTTAAAACAATCGATAGGAAAAAAAATAATGTAACTTTTGTTTATTTATACTTACGATGTTGAACTTTGTGCCAGTTTTTGTTGCATAAATGGGCCTAGTAATTACAGAAATATGAACCATAACCCATCCTCCAGCTCAGTTTAAACTACAGAGATTGATAATGTACTGTTTCCAACAGGCTCACTCCCAAATTATAACCTATCGAGTATTTTGCATTCTGGGGAGGAATTTTATTTGTTTTTATTATATTATTCTTGTTCTAGTTGATTTTTTTTGTTTAGTTTTAGTATTATATCTTGTCTTTTATTGTCTGATCAGTGTTATAATCTTATTTCTTTATGAAAAACAGATCTGGAGTTGTGTTTTTTCCCATTCACTCATGTTTAACACACAAACCTGCAGATTTAGGTTCTTCTCACAAACTGAAAACACCATGCTCCACTGTGTTTTTAAACTCCATACACCTTCACTAGAGTGATTTGGATAATTTCAGCCCTGGAATCACCATTCTCTACTGAACTAAAGGTAAAACGTAGCTCTTCATGACATCACAAGGTGGAACAGAGCATTGTAAGCTTTGGAGATGTAGACACTCTAATAATAAAAGTTACTCGAACATGTGTGAATGAAACAAAACACAACTCCAGGTCTGTTTTTGATGAGGTAATAACATTATAACATGGATAAAAGCTCACAAGAGTAAATTTTGTGTAATATAAGACTTTCAAAATTAAGCAAAATTTACAGTTTATAAGCATCAATGTACAAATTCATACCAGCTTCGCAATAAATATATTTGAAATGGGTCACTTGTGTTCATGTAAAGTCATGTTTTATCCTGGTTTATGGTTTATAATATCTCTGTAATTACTGAGCTTATCCACATGAGACAAAAACAGCAGAAGGTTCAGCATATTCACTCTCAGCACGAATGAACCAAGGCTAAAAGAAAATGTGTTTTTACTATCAAGGCTAAAGCCGCTATCCACGATTCTCTGTTTGATAATATCTTTCAAAAGCCCCGACCTTCATCTGAATTTGAATAGGAACTTGAACGTCGAGAAAGCACCCAATAACATATGTTTAAAGAAAAAAACTACATTTCCACCTGCACTGTGCTTGTGCTACCAGTTTTGTATAAACATTTTGAGCAAGTTAAAATTCTGTATTGTTTGAATTCCAGTCATTAATGTAAAACAAGGGTTCATATGGTACACTGAAAAACTACACAAATTTCTCCACTAGGGGTGTGCAAGAACATCAAAATATCAATATATAGTATCATTTAATGTGATGATACAGTATCGATATCATCGGCTGCTGTATCGATATATCACCAAGAGTATTTTTTGGTATATTTTACTAAATTATTTTGTTACAGTGCTACAGTTTTGTTGCTTGTTCAGAGGAAAGAAACTCATTTATGTGACACATTTGACATTTTCACTGTTTTGATGATTAAAATGTTTGTGTTTCATATGAATTTTGCACAAGAAGTGGTTTAACAAAGACTTTTAGTATCACAGCCATGATTTAGCCTTTATTTTTATTGAACTGATTTGAAAAATATCGTATTGAATCGAAAATGCACTGTATCAAGATATGTATTGTATCGTGGCCTATGTATCGAGCTATTTATCATATCAGCAACTTCTTATGGGTTAAAACCACCCATATTTCATTCATTTTCATTCATATTTGAGTTTGACATATAGGCTTAATTCTGGTTAAAATTTAAAATAATAATAATAAGTCTGTGTAAAATTTGTACAGTATGACTCATAGGTTGGTAGGTAACAGTGTACAGGTATTATCTATCTGTATCGACAAATGCCATGGGCCCCATATTAAAACATAATGACTGTTCTAATGTATATTTTGTGACAATAAACTGAACTTACACTCAAAGGATATGTAAATCCCCCCAAAAAAACATTAATTTCCACCAAATTCTCCACCTCTGCCTTGTTAAACCCACACTGTTCTCTCTCCCCTATGTAAAAAACGTGTCGTAATCATATTCCATACCCAAAATCTTTAAAGCCCGTTGAAAAACTGCATACATTTGCCCAATTCCCATCTCTGCATCGCTGTTTTGATCACTTGAGCAGACCATGAAGGCTCAGTTACATTTATAAAATGCAAGTCAATATAAAATCAGCATCTCTTTTATGTTTGTAATTCCTCCGAGTATTATAATCATACAACTTACCTCACACAAAATGGTTGAAAACTACAAACAATTTATCCAAACCCATGTCTGTAATGTTAAAAACACCTCTGTTTTGATAATTAAGCGTTACAAAAAGGTTCAAGAGTCATAATTGTACAAAATAATTCAACATGAAATCACTCTACTCCTCTAATACAGTAAAGTAGATAGAAAAATTTGACATATTTCCCTCAACTCCACCTCTGCATCGTAAAAACCACCCTGTAGTCTACCAATACTAACATTTCCAACTTTAACCAGCTTTAATATCCAACGTAAAAGCCCCTGAACACAACACACCCCACCCAAAAATGCCCCAAAGCTCCTGTAAAACTGTCCTCACCCCCGTCTGCATTATTAAACCTCCACATCATGACATCACCGTGTGTCTGGACTCACCCTCCACGCCGTCAGGAGGTCCACCCCAGGTCCAGCGCTTCGGCCTGTTGTCCAGCTGGCCCTCCCCTCCGCCTCCGCCCTGGTTTTGCCCCGACTGTCCCGTGGTCCCGTTCTGGAGGTGGTTGTTGTTGCCCCCACGGCCTCCGCGGCGCCTCACCATGGCCTCCAGACGCTCCTGCTCGTTGCGTTCGGAAACAGGGAAAAACAGACACTCCCTCACGGATCCGTCGCTGCGTCGCCTCAGGCCCGGAGACGAAGCGGCGATAACCGTGGAGATGATGAGGTCGTCGGGGAGAGTGGGATGAGGGAGAGGAGGAGGAGAGGAGGAGGGGGAGGAGGAGGAGGGGGGATGCTGCTGATGCTGCTGCTGCTGCTGCTGCGCCATGGTAACCGCGTCCGGGTGCAGTCACCGCGACGACAGACTGCGAGCACGGACTGACAGCAGCGCTCGCCCCGTGTCGCTATCTCTCCTCCTCGCTCTGATCGACCCTCCCTCTCTCCTCCCTCTCTCCTCTCTTCCTCTTTCTTTCTATCTATCTCCATATTGTCTCATCTTCTAATTTCTGTCAGTGCATGTTTTTCTGTTCGGTTTTTGCTCAATACATTGGTCATAGGTTTATGTAAACATTCTTAGCATAGCTTTCTTTCTGTCCCTCTTTCTTTCTCTCTTTCCTTTTCCTGCTCTCTCGCTCTCCCTCTCTCTCTTCCTCTCTCCCTTCTCGCTTTCTCACCATATCATCTCACCGTCTAATTTCTGTCAATGCATGTTTTTCTGTTTCTTTTCAGCTTTCTTTGTCCCTTTCTCTTTCTCCTTTTCCTGCTCCCTCTCTTTCTGTCTCTCTCTCTTTCTCTCTCTCTCTCTCCACCTGCTCTTGCTGCTCTCTCTCTCTCTCTATATCTGTCTATTTATCTCTATATCATCTCATCTTCTAATTTCTGCAATGTATGTTTTTCTGTTTCTTTTTAGCGTTCTTTCTGTCCCTCTTTCTCTCTCTTTCTCCTTTTCTTGCTCCCTCTCTCTCTTTGTCTCTCTCTCCCTTCCTCTCTCTCCATCTCTCTCTCACTCCATCACTCTCTCTATCTCTCAATATCATCTCCTCATTTCTGTCAATGCATGTTTTTCTGTTTCTTTTCACCTTTCTTTCTGTCCCTCTTTCTCTCTCCTCCTCCTTTTCCTTCCTTCTCTCTCTCTCTTTCTCTCCTTCTCTCTTTATCTCTCCGTATCGTCTCACCTTCTAATTTCTGTCAGTGCATGTTTTTTCTTTGTAAATGTTTTGCTATCAATACATTGGTCACAGGTTTATCCATAACATAAATTAGCTTTCTTTCTGTCCCTCTTCCTCTCTCTCTCCTTCTTCTATTCCTTCCTTCCCTCTCTCTCTCTCTCTCTCTCTCTATCTATCCATATCACCTCACCGTCTAATTTCTGTCAGTGCATGTTTTTCTGTTTGGTTGTTGCTATTCAATACACTGGTCTCCCTCTTTCTCATTTTCCTGCTCTCTTTCCCTGCCTCTCTCCCCCCTCTCTCTTTCTCTCTCTCCATCTCCTTTTCCTGCTCTCTTTCTCTCTCTCTCCCTTTCTCTCTATCTCTCCATATCATCTCATCGTTTAATTTCTGTCAGTGCATGTTTTTCTGTGTTCGTTTTTGCTATTCAATACACTGGTCATAAGTTTATCCACACCATACATTAGCTTTCTTTCTCTCTCTCTTTCTCTCTCTCTTCTTTCACTCCCTCTTCTCTCTTCCCTTTTTCTCTCTATCTCTCCATATGTTCACCAGTGTAGTTCAACATTTGGTTTATGTCTGTTCAAATACACCAAGATCATATATCAGCTAATTAAAGGGTTAGTAACAGAAATAGTAGCTTTCTCTCTCCTCCCCCTCTCTCTCTCTCTCTCTCTCTCTTTCTCTCTTTCTCTCTTCCTCTATCTCTTCATGTGACTGCACCTTCGGATTTCTGTCAATGCATGTTGTTTGGTTTTTGCTGTTCAAATAAAGATATGTCCTATCAGCCAATTAGGCATGGTAATAAAATAGATAGGACTATATTAGCTTTCTTTCTCCCCCTTTTTCTCTCTCTTTCCCCCTCTCTCTTTCTGTATCTCTCCATCCACCTGTGTATTTTCTACATTTGGTGGTTCATGTCGGTTCAAACATGTTATGTCCTAAATCACTGAGTTAGGGTTAGTAACAAGGTAGATATAGTGGCTTCCTCTCTCCTCCCCTCCCTCTCTCCTTTTCCCATTCTTTCTCTTTCTCTCTCTCTTCTCTCCATCTCTCCATATGTTCGCCAGTGTAGTTCAACATTTGGTTTATGTCTGTTCAAATAAAGGTAGGTCCTATATCAACTAATTAGGGTTAGTTATAGAAATAGTAGCTTCCTCTCTAATCCCCTCCTTCCCTCCCTCTCTTCTCTCTCTCTCTTCGTTTTCTCTCCATCTCTCCATACCATCGCTCCTTCTGCTCTCTCTGCACCGGCGGTTCTTTGTTTTTATTTTTTGCCTACTCATCTACAAGCCGCATTTAAAATAATAGCGGCTATCTGTCTCCTTCTCTCCTCTTTTGTCGTCGTCACCCCTCTCTCTCTCTCTCCTTTCTCGCTTTCTCTCTTTCTCTCTCTCTCTCCCTCCCTCCATTTGTTCATTCTATTCTACATGCTCTATTGATTCCCTTCAAGTATTTTTCACTATTGAGGTTTTCCTAAATACAACTGCATCAATTCGCTTTCTTTCTCCTTCCTTCTCTCTCTCTTTTTCTGCACCAGTGGATCTCAAATAAAAGATATAATATTTACAGATTTTAGAGATGTTTGAATTTTCATTTTCACTGAACTATTATCTAAAAAAATCACAAATAAATATAAAATAACCTTTGATGGAGCACCTTTCACTTCTGGAACGAGGGGACGGGCAGAGACTATTGAGCTCCATAAAGGCTAATCTAACATATTATTTCTATTTATTATTTTCTTCTTTTTATTATTATTTAGTATTTTATAGCTCCTGCCCTCTCACACCAGATGAAGGGAGACAAATAACTCAATTAATTTATGATCGAAGACGCAATATGGCTGTTAAAGGGTCTATATTATGTTATCTTCTGTTATAATGTTGTTTCCTCGTCAAAAACAAACTTGGACTTGTGTTTTGTTTCATTGATACATGTTTAACACACAAACCCTGCATGTTTAGGTTAGAAAACACTCTGTTCCACCTTGTGATGTCATGCGGTGATACAGGAAGTGCTCCACTGTGTTTTTAAACTCCATACACCTTCCATAGAATCATTTGGATGATTTCAGACCTGGAATTGCAAATCTCTACTGAACAAAAGGTAAAAAGAGCTAGGGTTGTGTGGTAATTACGGTATTACGGTATCACGTTGGTCATACCAAGCCCCCGGTTCCAAAATGGCCGGCCATTCATGTCAATGGGCCGAGCTCAAGATCGGCTAGTTACTTCCAGTGGCTGTGGGCCGACCGAGCATGCGCAGTAGTGCTCTTTTCTCCCGCTGGCACACGCGAATGCTCGTGTATCACGTGATCGCTTTGACCAATCAGAGCGGAGCCGAAGCTAATGATTATAAAGCATTTTTTTAAGACAACTGAAGGATTTTGATCTGAGAAAAAATTATGATCTAAAAATAGGTAAAAATCGCCACAAAATCCGACATTTTTGAAAGTTGAAGGTCCCCTGTCAGCCGAACACGAGCAGTTTGTGATTACATTGCGCTCTATGAGAAAAATCTTCTCTCGGCCCATGGGACTTACATGACACTACATCAACTCGAGGCAGCTACAAGCAGCAATACTCTATCTAGTTATTTTAATAGATCCATGGTCATATGCATAGACAATATAGCGGTGCAGCTTCGTAGCTTACCAAAGCCGTACTTAAACATTTTGGTAATACGGTAATACTGTATACCCCCGTAAAATCCTGAGAAAGTTTAACGGTATCAAAATTTGGATACGGTGCAACCCTAAAAGGAGCTGTTAACTTGAAAACTACTGCATCATGACTAGGGTTTGCAAAAATATTTAAATATCGATATATCACATCATTTAATGTAATGATACAGTATCGATATTGTTGTCTGCTGTATAGATACATCGCCAAGAGAATTTCTTTAATATATTTTACTAAATTATTTTGTTACAGTGCCACAGTTTTGTTGTTTGATTTATGTATCGTATCGTATCGAATCGATTTGAAATGATATCATATCAAATTGAAAGTGCAATGTATTGAGATACGTATTGTGGCCTATGTATCGAGATATGTATCGTATCTGCGACTTCTTAATGATACCCAGCCTTAATCATGACATCATAAGGTGGAACAGAGCATTTTGAGCTTTGGAGATGTACACAGACTAATAATAAAGATTTACTCAAGCATGTGTGAATGAAACAAAACACACTCCAGGTCTATTTTTGAGGAGGAAACAACATTATAACATGATTTAAAGCTCACAAGAGGCAATTTAAGTTTAATATACTTTTATTGAAATCAGCTTTATTTTACGTATTCTTTTTAAAAAACAGTGCATTTTTGTCAGATTGAGAAACTTATCGATATATTGTGCATTTCAATATTATCTGTTGCATCCCTCGTTATCTGCACTACTGTACGGTCCAGAGAACGATGACAAAAATACGATTATTTTAACCGTCAAGAGTCACAGCTTCGGCAGTGATTTGCTGCGGTTGCCCTGTAGTTCAATCCTAATCTAAACTGGGTTGGCTGTGGGAGTATTTTACAGCTGGTCTGGGTGAATTATGAGCTCGTCTCCGCGCACAGCTCTCACACAAACCCACGTCCGTTTTTTCCCCATTTCCTGTAAACGCCACACGAACCACTGATGTCATCCCCCCGAGGGCCAGTGATCATTAGGGCATTGAATTATGTACATGAGACACAGAGGGAGGGAGGGACGGAGGGAACAGCCGACTGAAAATCAATACAGAATCTATAGGATCAGATCACCGGGACGGCGCTTGTTAACCCTTTGTGATTTTAAGGCTTGAATTATCGACTGTTATTAAATGTCAAAACAAACAAGTGGGATTTTTACGACACCAGCACTTAAAAGTCTTATATTACACTAAAATGAATCCTTACTTTGAGCTTTAAATCATGTTATAATGTTGTTTCCTCCTCAAAAACAGACCCGGAGTTGTGTTTTCATTCACACGTCTGAGTAATTCTTTATTATTAGTCTGTGTACATCTCCAAAGCTCAAAAAGCTCCGTTCCACCTTGTGATGTCATGTTAACAGCAACCTTTATCTTTAATAGTAGCGATTGGCAATTCCAAGGCTGAAATAATCAAAATAATTCTAGTGAAGTTTTGTTTTTTTAATTCAGCAAACTCAAACAGAGTCAGCCAGCCAGGGGACAACCAGGGACGTCAAAAACACACAAAAGCAGCACAAAATCACAAAAAAAACAACAGATATGATACAAAAAACAGCAGTGCAAGAGAGAAAAAAAAAAAGTCCAATACACTTAACCAAATAAACATAAAATGCAGGAGAGATGATACTGTTATGTTATAGGTGTTTCCTGTATTCCTATATTGTATGTTTTAATAGCTTTTTTAAATTTTTGATTCGTTTTATTGACTGGAAGTTAAGGATGTAACAATAATCGAAATATTGTGATCAAAGTCAATATCATCACAATAATATCGAATTACAAGTCTCTTTACTTAAATTAAAAGTTAATCAAAAAAAAAAGACAGAGGGAACTACATAGACCATGATCCTTTGCTCCATTTCAGTGCAGACTACAGAAAGAAATAACAGTTCTAAACACTTTTAAGTCTTAGTTCTTTAGGTTAAGTCTTGTCAAGGCATTTTAAGAGGAAAAAGTAGCATATTAACAGTTTTAGGTGTTTAGTCTCCACAAAATATTGCAATATATATCGTACCGTGAGATGTATATCGTGCAAATATCGTACAGAGAGATTTGGATATTGTTACATCTCTAATCATGAGCCTCCCCACCATATCGTGAGCTTGGATATCGTTACACCTCTGCTGGAAATATTGTTGTATTTCGTTATTATAGTAGTGACCATTTGGTTTATTTTGAGTCTATTTTGTTTTGTGTATGTGATATTTGGCCAACGTGATGAGAGTCTGAATGAGGAAGGAGAGATCTTTGGGAATGGAGGGGTTGTTGAAGAAGAACAGGACGTCACTTTCCTGGAGGCTGATCACAGGTCAGGTTTTGGTCTGATTTTGGTCTGATTTTGATCTGACTTTGATCTGATTTTGATCTGATTTTGGTCTGGTTTTGGTCTGGTTTTGGTCAGGTTTTGGTCTGATTTTGGTCTGATTTTGATCTGGTATTGATCTGGTTTTGGTCTGGTTTTGATCTGATTTTGATCTGATTTTGGTCTGGTTTTGGTCTGGTTTTGATCTGGTATTGATCTGGTTTTGGTCAGGTTTTGATCTGACTTTGATCTGATTTTGATCTGATTTTGGTCTGTTTTGGTCTGGTTTTGGTATGGTTTTGGTCTGGTTTTGGTCTGGATGAGCTGCTGTATATGAGTCCAGATGTTTCCACCCTACGTACAACAGTAGAACAGGTGATTGATTGCTTCAGTTTCGCTTTGACAGAAGACGCAGTTGCAATCAATATCGAATTTAAATCTTTCTTAGGTTTGTTTGTTTGTTTTTTGGCTGGGTAAATATTAAGGAGAATTTTGAAACAGACTTCTTTGATTTACATGGAGATTAAAAACACAGAGGAGTAAGATGGAACAGTGTTTTCTGTTTGAGAGAAGAACTGAAGAGAAAAAAAATGAAGAATATGTAGGTTTTAGATAAATTATTTTTATAGATAGATAAGCTTTTAATCGAAATAGAAATAGAAAACATGTAGAGTGTTACGGCCCCAGGCCTTAGTTGTAATATTTCTGCAGAGTTCTCTTGATTCCTGCTGCACGAGCCCTGGTCTGTGATTGGTGGGGCAAGTCCACGCCCACTTCACCTGCAGCCACCTCCCCCTATTTAAGGAGATTGCCAGCACCTGTTTGGGGCTGCTGGCCTTAGTGGCCAGTATGCCATTTTGGTTTTGTGTTTGTGTGTTAGTCTAGTTCTGTTTTGTGCCTTTTTTGATTTGGTCACTTGATTCTGTTTGTGGGTTTAAGTGGTTTAATTTGGGGAACTTGTGTTTTAGTTTAGTGTGTGTCCCTAAGTTTTACCACTCGTTTTTGTGTAAGCCTGCGTGACCCCTTTTCTGGCACAAAACTCTGTTTATTCTGTTGTTCTGTTTCTTAGTTTAGGTTGTTTTCTGTATATTTTTAGTGTTTTGTTAATTTACCTTTACATTCCTGTTAATTAAACATTACTTAATTTATTCCATTTTACATCTTGGTTTTATTTTTGTTACTTCCCTCACCCCAAACAAGCTGGGTCGTAACATAGAGTATAAAGTTCTTTTGCTTCATTTGGTAAAGTATTTGTATTGTAGTAAAGTATAAATATAATAGGAGTATATACACTAATGCGCTGTGAGTAGGGAGTTATTATTTTGGTGTAAACAACAGTGAGTGGTGCGACGTCTGACCTTCTCTGCTTCCTGTTGCAGTCTTCTTCTCTCCTCAGCTGCGTTTCTGCGTCGTTCCTCTCTCTTCTTCTGCTCCTCCATTTTTCTGCCTCTCTGCTCGGCGCAGCGTTCCAACTGCTCCTTCACTCTCCGCTCTTTATCTCGCAACACATCCGGCAAATCTATAAAAAATATATATTATTACATGAATTATTAATGAAAACCTGAACCTGGACTAACCTACAAAGATAACGGCACTACTCTGAAAATCAAAATCAGTGAATCAATGAATGAAGTGGAATCGAGTTGAGTTCAAATGAAATAAAATAATAAACCATTATAAATCCAAATCTAAAACCAGACTAACTAGATCTGTGATGGGACTAGGTCTGAGTCGAGGATTAAACCAGGAGTAAACCAGGACTAAAGCTAGACAAAAGATGGACTAAACCCGGACTAAACTAGAACTGAACCAAGACAAAACCAGAACTGAACCAAGACAAAACCAGAGCTGAACCAGGACTAATGCAGAGGACTAAACCAGGACTAAACGAACACTAAAGCAGCGCTAAACCAGGACTAAAGCAGGACTAAACCTGGACTAACCCAGGACTAAACCAAGACTAAACCAGAACTGAACCAGGACAAAACCAGTGCTAAACCAGAACTAGACCAGAACTAACCCAGAACTACACAAAAACTACACCAGGACGAAACCAGAACTGAACCAGGACAAAACCAGAGCTAAACCAGAACTAGACCAGAACTAACCCAGGACTACTCAAGGACTACACCTAGACTGAACCAGGACTAAACCAGAACTGAACCATGACTACACAAGGACTAAACCAGGGCAAAATTGGAGCTAAACCAGAACTAAAGCAGGACTAAAACTGGACTAAAGATAGTCTACACGAGGGCTAAACCAGGACTAGACCAGGACTGAACCAGGGCTAGTCTAGGACAAAACCAGGACAAACCCAGAACTACACAAGGACTACAAAAGGACTAAACCAATTATAATACTGGACTAAACCGTGAGTCTTTAATGTGACTATGCAGATGCAGAGGACTAAACCACACTTGGGTGAATACTGCCCCCTACTGGACAATTATGTGTTTACAAGTACAGTACAGAATAAAACCTTTGCCAATGGTTAGGACTAAATCAGATACTAAACATTACCAAAACTAGTATCAAAACTAGATACTCATCTGACCCAAAATCGAGTTTTAGTATGAAAAGGGAAAGATAAACAGTGTGTGTCATAGTATTTACCTGTTATGAGTTTATCGGTTTTGGTGGGCGATCTTGAAGGCGAGCGATGAGTGGAGACGAGGAGAGGAGCAGAGGGAGGGGCCAAAGCTGCTGAGATGGGGAAAAAAAAAAAACAGAAAAACAACTCAACAATGACTCATGTGAAGAAACAATGTCCAGAAGGCAAATGACTGCAAACGTGACTCCACAACACAAATTAAACACACGGCGAGGCTGTATATGACCTTATCCTGGTTTGGGGACAGGAAATAGTTGTAATATCCAAATATACAAGGAGCAAAGGAAGCTGCTACTTTAGTGTCAAATTGTTTTTTAATGTAAGTTGCCTATTGATTGGAAACTTTAGTGGTTTGCTGTGGTTTGCTGACTAATAGAATTTTAAAAGTAGTTCCACCTTACATGAAACAGGTGAGGTAAGACCAGACTGGCGCCATAAAGAGTAGTATAAATTTAAAATAGGACTGTAATTGAAGCAAAGTGTAATTGCAATTTATTTATCAAGACTTTTAATGAGGAGGAGCAGTGGCTCTACTCTAAGCTCCTTGGATGGGGATTTGTTTCAGTCAGGACCCTGCACTCAGTGATAGATTGCTTAATATTTGGCAATATGTTTTAAGAATAAATACAGTACTTTTTGTTAAACCACATTCTGCACAAACATAATGAAGTACACCCATTTTGATCTATATGAAATGTATTCATAAACAAGTTTTTTTTCTCTAAACAAGCAACAAAATTAGTAAAAAAAAATACAAGGAAATACTGAATACAGCAACCCATAATATTGATACTGTTTGACTTTGTGTATGATCAAATTTACTATGGATTTTTTTTTTTCATCAGCGCATTTAGATATCTAGAATTTAGAATAATAAAGTTTTTTTAATTCTTGCAAGTCCTAAAAGATTGGATATTGGCGACTTCTCCCATCGTCCAATAAAAGATCAATGAGCTGTCCTTGTCAGACATCTCAGCTGCCTCCACAGAGCTCCAAATTTCACCGGTTTCACAAATATATTGACAGACACACGCACACACATGCACACACACACACACACACTGTCGCCCACACACAGTCACACACACACACACACTGTCGCCCACACACAGTCACACACACACACATAAAGAGCAAATGAAACGCGTGCATTCAAATAGATGCAAAAACATGCAAATCCCCAGTGACTCGCGCTATACTTAGCTCATTTCTCTCCAGATGACATCACTCCGAATAATCAGCTGAATCATTTGCTTTCAAGAATAGATATAAACGTTTTTTGTCCCTTATGACACACCGTAGTATTTGTCATTTCGTTACACAGTTAAAGGTCCAATATTACACAAAACGGACTCTTGTGAAGCTTCAGTCATGTTATAATGTTGTTCCCTCCTCAAAGACAGACCTGGAGTCGTGTTTTGTTTTATTCACACATGTTTGAGTAAACCTGGATTATTAGTCTGTTTTCCCGGGCTAAAGTTATCCAAATGATTCTAGTGAAGGTATACGGAGTTTAAAAACACAGTGGAGCGCTTCCTGTTTTCTGCTTGATGGAAGAACTCAGACTAAATATGCTGGGTTTGTGTGTTAAACATCTATGAATGAAATAAAAATACAACTCCGGGTATGTTTGTGATGAGGAAACAACATTTATAGATCATAGATAATACGGGCCCTTAAATTATGGGCTGTGGGGTTCTTTGCAAGTATAAATATATGTTAAACAAGATTCATATCACATTACAAGATGCAAAAACAGATATAAAGAGGTGCAAAATATGTAATTATGCATAAGGATGAATATTGTCCATCCATCCATTTTTTTCTGCTTATCCGGGGCCGGGTCGCGGGGGCAGCAGTCTAAGCAGGGACTCCCAGACTTCCTTCACCCCAGACACGTCCTCCAGCTCCTCCGGGGGGATTATTGATTATGAATATTGTGAATATGTTTAAAAGCTATGCACAGTTTCAATACTGAGTAGCCATATCATTTATAACAAAACTCTATCTGATGAAATATAAAACAAACCTATAGCTGTAGCCTCCATCTTCAAAAATTTGCATATTTATTGCATTTATTTCTTTAATTTTGTGGTTAATTCTACTCTCCTTTCACCTTAAACCTCAGTTTAAGACAAATTTTAACCTCCTAGGACCCAAACTCTTATGGCATGCTTTATTGATTTCTCTTTGTTTGTTGGGCTGATTGGGACCAGATGAATACATTCATTTTGTTTTAATCATTTTGATAGAACACAATAAAGTCTCAGCTAAATAATCATTTGCAAAAACTATTTATTAAATGCCTGAACAACCCAAAATGTGTTAGACATACTGTATATATGTCCATATATGTGGACGCAAGGTCCTAGGAGGCTACTATATCTTCGTTTCTTCGCAAATTTATTGTTACTGAAATAATATGATTTTTCCACTATATAAAAGACATTTTGACCACGCACAGCCAGTTATAATCATCTAATTGTGTGTTCTAACAGCTACAAATATATACAGTATGTTATTTAGTATGTGTTTAATATTTATTTTCATTAAGACAGCAAGACATTAAGCTGAAATAATTGCATGTTTCCTAAATTAAAATTATTAAAACAGTCATATATGTTAAACGCTGGTCTTTTCCCACTATGATCCACCCATATGATTGAAAACCGTAATAGTAAAATATAATAATAATGCAAACAAAACCATAAAAATCCACGTAACGTTTCTGCCTAAAATAACATTAAAACTAGGCTAGACTGAATTCAAAAGGCAGGTGTGAGCTATTTTTATTCAGCCTATTTAGATAAAACAACCTTACACGTGTACAATTATTATTATTATTAATGTTAAATATATAAGGTTAACTAGTGCGTATAGTCTCACGGATGACATAACGTTACGCGCATACACCTGTCAATCAATCTATATGAAACCTTTACGACAACAAATCATTACAAAAAAATTAATAAAAAAAAATACTAACAATAAAAAAACAATCGTGAATATATTGACTAAATAAAAAAAACATAGATAATTAAAAATGTTGCTAGTTAGCTTTAGGAAAAAAACCGCTAAAAGCATTAACGTTAAAATGTATGTCCAACGGTTGTCATGGTTTCTTACCGGTCATCTCCGCGTGGCCAGGAGACACTTTGGTCATCCTCAAATGTGCAAAAAATGTGTCTAAAATATCAAAAATAACACAGAAATCCAACGATAAGATGCTCAGGGGCGGCTCGCAGAGTGACTAATGAGAAATGATGCTAGCTGCAGCAGACAGATGGAAAAACAGAGGAGGGGCGTCCGTGAATGCGCCTCGGAGATTAATCTATTTATATTACGCTTTCAACGGGTAAAAATAACACTGATGCTAAAATGCCCAGACTACGACATTTGCACGTTTTATTTATTTTTATTAGATGTGGCGTAGATAATTAATTTTTTTTTGTAAAATTTGGTTGACGAGCTAAAAGTGGATCATTGTCTTAGCTGCCATTGGGGCTAAGTGGCAGAAAAGCGGCTTCCTTTCTGCGCCAAATTAAGTGTTATTAAAAAAGGGGGGTCTTATATTACGTAAAATTTACTCTTGTGAGCTTTAAGCCATGTTATAATGGTGCTAGCTTAACAAAAACATACCTCGAGTTGTGTTTTGTTTCATTCGCACATGTTTGAGTAAACCTTTATTGTTTATTTATTTATTTTGTTTATTGTTTATTTATTATTTGTCGACATCTCCAAAGCTCAAAATGCTCTGTTCCACGTTGTGATGTCATGAAGTGGTTTTCGAGTCCAGTGCCGAAATTATCGAAATGATTCTAGTGAAAGTGTAAGGAGTTTCAAAACACAGTCCAAATAATTTTACGTGCCTTTATGTCCAAAATAATTACCCTTGTGGATTAATAAAGTTTGTCTAAGCCAGTCGAGCACTTCCTGTATTACCGCATGACGTCACAAGGTGGAACAGAGTATTTTGAGTTGAACGTTTTGTGTGTTAAACATGAAACATATGAACAATGAAACAAAACACAACTCCAGGTGTGTTTGTGATGAGGAAACAACAATATATTCTAACATAGAGCAGAAAATAGCACAATAGGTCTTTAAAATTGCTCGTAAATACACGAAAAGCAAAATTTGATGTTTATTACTGAAAGAAATGACTGAGCTGCCTTTACACATTAGACAGGCCTCTTCTGTACCTGTTTTAAAATCTTTTATTAAAACGTACTTGTTCACTTTGGCCTTTGACACAGTTTGAGTTGTTGACATTTTTTTATTAGATTGTTTTTGATACATTCTGGTTTTATTCATATATTGTTTTAGTGTTTTTATCGTTCTTATTTAATGATGTTCTGTAGCACTTGTGTTGTTTTAAAATGCGTTATAAATAAAGTTGCAGTTGCAGACAGAAATGACTTGAAAAACATGCATCCTTATTGTGAACACGGGACGCTTCTCCACAGATCTGACACAGTTATAATGTAAGTAATTTGCATATTTTTCTGTGACGATGACATCATGGACCTACACTGATCAATCAAACACATTTCAGAGACGAATTAAACTGTATTTTTAAACGATCCGGGATCAAAATCACGCACATACATGAACCATTATTGCTTTTTTGCATTTTACCGCTCGCTGGACTGACTGAACGATCATCCAGGTCTGGTGTGTTTTCTGCTTGATTGCCGCGTGCTGCCTCTGCCTCCTCGTGCCGGAAAGCGCACGTGCAGCACACTAGCCCAGCGGCGGGGTTACGTCATTGTGGCACGCGTGCGCACGGGGCAGTGGACGCGCGCGATGTGGGTCAGCGCCGTTCACACGTTCACACACAACGCCAACCCCGGGTCACGTCAGACTGAAGCAGCGGCGCTAAAAATACCATAAAACTCACCCAGAAATATACTTCAAACACCGTCTCCTGGTTCAGTCTCCAAAAAATACACATTTACTCATCATATCACATTTACTCTTGATAATACTCCCTACAACTGTACAACAACTCACCCTTATGTAACGGATAACTCTATGCCCTGTCAATCATCATATCATTGGTTCTCTGTCTTCCTGTGACCTCTTGTATAAAGCTGAGATTTTATGTTTTATTATTTATTTATTTATTTTATTTTATTTTGACTTGTACATTTACATTTATATAATTATGTCTTATTTGACATCAGTCTCTTGCTCTTTTTTGCTACTTATTTAGAATTTATCCATCCATTTTCTTCCACTTTTTCTGTGGCCGGGTCGTGGGGGCAGCAGTCTAAGCAGGGACTCCCAGACTGCCCTCACCCCAGACACTTCCTCCAGCTCCTCCAGGGGGATCCCAAGATGCTCAGGCGGGTTGAGTGCCTTACATAGTGCCTCCAGCGTGTCTTGGGTCTTCCCAGGGGCCTGGTGGGACATGCCCAGAACACCTCTCCAGGGAGGCGTCCAGGAGGCATCTGGAACAGATGTCTGAGCCACCTCAACTGGGTCCTCTCGACGTGGAGGAGCAGCGGCTCTACTCTGAGCTCCTGCCGTGTGACTCAGCTCCTCACCCAATCAGAGAAAACAAATTTCGGCCGCTTGTATCCGCAGTCTTGTTCTTTCGGTCATTACCCAGAGCTCATGACCATACGTGAGGCGAGGAACGTAGATTGACGGTAAATCGAGAGCTTTGCCTTACCAGATAACACCATATAGTGAGTTGAGTGAGCAATTATTTTTATATGTACTTTAAGACATTTTAAATATGTTTTTTTGGTGATTTAGGGCCAGTTTTGAGCCCCGTGTTCCCTGTCCCAGCAGATTTATCCAAAACCAGTGATTTGTTTCATTCCAATTTGATCCCTGCCAATAGTAAAGAGAGCCATAAACTGTCATCTGTTTAGGTCAAATACGGAAAAGCTGCTTAAAAACGACCAAAACACAAAGAAAATGTGACTAAACTGGCTCACGTTAATCATGAATGGGCCGAGTGCAGAACATTTCTCCTTACACTGCAAAAAACAAAATCTAGCCAAGTTAAGTTGACTTGAATTAAGAAAGTTTTATCTTGATTTGAGTAAATTTCACTTGACAAGTAAAATGATCTGCCAGTGGAACCAGACTTTTTGTACTTTAAATATGAAAATACATCTTGTTACCCTTAAAATAAGAAAAACAACAACTTCTTGCACTTAAAATAAGAAACAAAATGGAATGTTGCTTGAATTAAGAAAAACACACTTGTTCCTTTGGTCGATAATTTTACTTGTCAAGTTGAATCGACTCAAATAAAGTAAAATGTTCTAAATTTAAGTCATTTTACTTACCTAGATATTGTCTTTTTCCAGTGTAATTATGCACTCGTTTCACAATTTTATTACTTCCAACCACCACAAACTGGGGCATCCCAGTTTTTTATTTTGAAAATCTGGTCACGCTATTCTAAACACAGAATATTTGCAAATAAATGTGTTATTGTGTTTTTTCTAGGCCTACTTTTATTTTATTTTTATTTAGTTTGATTTGAGTTTTAATTTCTAAGATCAAAATATAACCTCAAATGTTAAATGTGCACTGTGCGGTTTGTCTGGTGGAGGGTCCGTCCTCGTCTCCATGTTGATGTGTCCAGAATGTTCTGCAGTATCATCATAAATTTAAGAATCGCCATGGAAACTTGCAGACTAAATTACAAGTTCAATTTGTGGAAAGGCAACCCTAATCACAATAAGAATTCATGTTTTTTAAGATACTTTTCGAACAATAAAAGCGTCTGTAGTTGAATAAACGCAAGACAAACAGGTGGCCGACCCTCTCCGGTAAAGTTACACAGTGCAGCTTTAAGTTTACAAGCAAGTTCAGTTCATGAAGAAATAGGAACCAATACAAAACATGTTAAGGTTTTTAATTATAACTGTTTTTTAGTATCATTCATCGTTAGTGCTTTAATCTGATTTATAAAACAGCCATTAACAACCAAACCAGCTGAACTACATTTACTTCAGTTACAGTTTACGCAGGTTTGTAAACACCGGCCTAAAACTTCATTATAGAGACGAAAACAGAGCATGTGAAAATTACAACAAAAACAAAACCCGAGCAAGATTCATACCAAAATAAAATAAAAGCACGTTTTAAATCAAATCCTTAATCTGAACAAGTTAAAAGTTAAATGCTACAATGGTTCAAACTTGGTTGGTATTTTTATCCATTATCTCGGTTTTGTAACTTATTTAATTATTTGCTGAGGTTAAAATTACATAAGAATTTAATAGTACACAAGATTGTAAAAACTTAAAAGAACTTAATTTAAAAAGAATTTAAGGACATAACATAACTGGGTTAAATTTGCCTCTATTTTTCAGTTCAGTAAAATTAGGACTGTTGCCATGGTGATTAACATTTTTTGTAATAAAAAAAAAAAATGCACACAATGACAAACACTGGCCCAAAAACGTTTTTAAGAACTCGGGGAAACTTACAAAAACGGATTTCAGCGACACATTTTCAGAAGTCACACGTGAAATTACAGTAAGTCGCTCTTACTTTTTGGTTGAAAAACTCAAGGCTCCTGAAAATGTCTTGTTTAAATCTTGAGTTTTCAGAATATCTTAGTTTTTTGGCCAGTTTTTGCTAATGTGTGCGTTGCGTCGCCATGGTAACAGCTACAGATATTAATGTACAACCACCCCTGCGTGAAACATCAATAGAATTTCACTGGTTTGGTATGAATCTAGCAACAGTAGCCGAACCTCTCAAAAAAACAAACAAACAAAAAACCAGATTAACAACAGACAAACTTGAGAAAAGGGGAAAAAACACAAAATGGTTTATTCATTTATTGGCTGTTTACTATTCCACATAGAGTGAAATCAATATAAATACATCTTAAAAAGAGTGGTGTTTCGAACTGATGATGAGACGTGCGTGTGGCAAGAGAGCAAATTTGGACAAAGAAGAAGGAGGGGGGGAAAAAAAAAAAAAAACAACAAACCTAAAATGTCTAGCAATGCTCTTGATCGTTACAATGCTGGGCTCAGCCTCAACTGTCCAATCCGCCGCCGGTGGCGTCACCAGTCGCCGGGCGGACTTTAAACTTCACTCACACCAGTTACATTTCTTAGACGCCACATTTATTTGAGTCAGTGGCGATTTTCTTTTCTCCTGATGCGAAATGCAAAGACAGTAATTGACTTTCTATTTGAATAAACTTTTAAACTTGTTCAGGCTGATCTTAGTAAAAATATTTATTATCATCGGCGTGAAGTGTCAATGTGAGTATCCAGCAGGAGCAGAAGATTAGATCTGAAAGAGAAGAAAGCGCAACACATTACATTTGGAGTGTTTAAAAGGTGCACTGGAAAGCTCTTTAAATTTTCATTAGTGATGTGTCCTCCGTGTCGAGGCTTCGACGTGTGTGCCAAGTAATCCAGGATGGTTTTGGTGAAGCACGCATTGAGGCTTGTATCGGTGACGTATGTGGTGACGTTCGAAGCCTCACGAACCGCCCGCAACTGGTTCAGGAAGTTCTTCGTGCATTTGGCACATAAGAGCCAGTGAAACGCAACAGATTCCCCCTCACATTTTGTGGTTTTTGGTTATTGCGAGTTTGGTACATTCTATTTGAGATTCTTTTTTTTGCAATGGAGCCAGCAAGAAAAAGAATATCATCTCCTATATCTCCTAATAAGGTATATAGTAATAATGATGTCATTAAATAAACCTGACCATTATATCATTAACACAGACTCCATGTTAATAAGTTCACAATTTATGCTGAAATCACAAACATTCAAATATTTAATCATTCATTTTTCAATATAAATCTTTCCATCATAACCTCAATGATCATGTTCATTGTTCTATTATCACTTTACCTGTTATATTTTTTGTCCACTTGATGGCGCAGTGGAGCAAATGAAGCACCTTGAAGCATCGGCTCAAGAGTCGAGCAAATGGATGGAACGCTTCAGGGCTTCATCTCACCATCACTAATATTCATTCTTATCATAAAGTGTTATTTAAGAAATTGTAAACCACCTTCAGTTACATTTGTATAGATACACACATGTAATTGTACAATAATCCTGATTTGCAAATTAGAAAATCACAGATAATCTTCAATTACTTAATCCTCGATTTCACAATTTTGCCATGTTTCAAAATCTTGATTTTAAAACCCGCATTAATCTAAGGAATTTATGAAATGTGTATGTATGTGTTTTTATGAAAAACCCATACATGATTTATTTTACTGTTAAATAAAATGATAATAATTCTGTTCTTACATCATCGACTTCATCGACGTCATCCCCCATGTCATCAAACTGGATTTCATCGTCTTCGGGTCCGGTCCCGTCTATGTCGTTGATTTTAGCTGAAGAGAAAAAAAAAGAAAATAGATTTAGGTCCTGATATCACACAGGGTTTGGAAAGAAACTGAAATGTCAAATATAGACTCTATACTCAATACGGATTCCAATATCTCGATGATAATAAAAACAGAATAGAATGTGATTTTCAACATTAAATCATAAGACTTTCTTTTCTATTCCCATGTGGCCTTATATCTGTGTAATCCCACAGTGTTCCATGTATTTTTTATTGTGGTCCATGGACGTATACTAGTCATTAAATATCAGATACAAACTAAATATTTAATCAGAAGTGCAGCTCTTTCACATTTTGGATGCATTTGAAGCTCTTACAGAAGAAAATGTCACTACCTGCCATTGCCACTCACTCTATATATTCAGAATGTTGTGATCATGTGTATAACCCGAACACCAGACTGGAGACTCCTGCTCTTTATGAGACTGGGGCCCTCTGCTGGACACTGTTCCTGTACTCACCGTGCTCTGGCAGCTCCCCGTAGGCTTTCAAACTCCGAGACTCGTCCGTGTTGTATTTGAGGATGACGTCAGCTTTGTTGTCCTAAAAGACAAATTCAAAACCATTACTTTAATAACACTGACAATGGTTGGATGTTTTAATATGAAGTTAAGGCTTGAATATTATAGACTATTTTTTGTAAATTAAAGCATAAGAAGTGACAGTGATAAATGACTTTTGCTTTGTCAAAGTGGCTCTAAACTATGAATCAAACTCAACCAGAAGTTTGTGTACGAATGTAGTTTTACTTCACTGTTTTATTTTAAAGATTCTCATGACTTTAGTTAAAGACCAAAAAAAGTAATTTGGTCTGCATTACATTTAAAACATTAATCTATTTTTACATATTTTTTCTGCAATTATGAATAAGAAAAGCATTTCCACACACATTAAATCGTTAAAGATAGTATGAACTGTATTAGATTAAATCATTTTAGACCCAAAAGCTAAAAATGTACCCAGTTTGCCGCATAAATTTGGATTTTTCCCCTTCTGAATTATAATATATAGTGATGTGTGAGCTACTGTGTCCAAATAATTTCAGTAAAGTTTGTCTAAGTCTATTCTAAATGAAGTCTAACGCTATCAAATCAACATATACAGTTTAGTAACGAAAAAAAGTGGATTTTGTGTTTAGTTTTACTTCAAGATATGGATTTCTGCAACACATTTTATCCCAAATACTGATAGATTTACAGTAATAATGAGCACTGTGAATAAATAAATTAAGAAAGTCACTACACACCTGGTAATCTCTGAGGCCCACCAGAATAATGTCTGACGTGTTGATCCAGACCTGAGAAGGAACAGAACGAAGAGCTGGGATCACATCTCTACATAAACACAACACAACAGCCTGTATCTTAAACAGACGATATTATGCTATTTTCTGGTCTATTGTTATTTTTGCTCATCAAAAACATACCCGGAGTTCAATTTTTTTATTTATAGTTTTATTCATGCATTTTTAAACACAAATCCTGCTTATTTATGCCGAGTCCTTCTATCAAACAGAAAAGTTCCTGACATAGCAAGGTGGAAGTGCTTTTTAAACTCCATACATCTTCACTTTGGATGATTTCAGCCTTGACATTTCAAATCTCTGCTCAACCAAAGGTAAAAGGCGCTGTTCACTTGAAAAACTACTGCTTCGTGACATCTCAAGGTGGAGGTAGACAGACTAATAATGCAGCGTTACTCAAACATGTGAATGAAACAAAACTCAACTCCAGGTCTGTTTTTGATTAACAACATTATAACGTGACTAAAACCTCACAAGGACTTTTAAAACTGAGGTCAGAATTCTGTGGTAAAATATTTCTCGCTGTCAGTTTCAAAAAGGCGTGGACAGTTCCTGGTCAATTTTCAAAAATGTTCATGAAATTTCCCATGGGAACTTCAGCTTGGAAAATGTGGGGAATTTTCAAAGAATTGTCAAGTTCAGGAAAGGTTACCGTATTTTCCGCACTATAGGGCGCACGGTCATTAAATGGTCTATTTTCAAACTTTTTTCACAAATAAATTGCACCGGACTTTAAACGAAACACAACAGTTGAATGGGTGAGTGGTTTTGTTTGTTTGTGGCGTTCACGGTGACTCTGGTCTTTGTTCAGTTGTGGCGTGTAGGGAGGGTGCTGTCTGGGACCGCTGGATTGTCGGCGTGTTCGCAGTGACTCAGTTGTGCAGTTGTGTCTAGAAGTGGCACATTGCACTCGCTTTTTCGGTTCGTTCCTCCGTTCTGTTCCTCGTCGGCGTGGAGTGATGAGTGTGGCTGTGGGTGTTTTTGCGGCGTGGTCGCTGCCTGCTGAATGAGTGTTTACCTTCCCTGCGGCTTTGTAGTTTACTGAAGTCATGCTGGGACATCCGACTAGATTCGTGTATAGGGCGCTCTGGATTGTGGGGTGCGCAGTCATTTTTTGATGGGGTTGGAGGCTTAAGAGCGCGCCCTATAGTCCGGAAAATACGGTAATTTCCGTCTTGTGAATGTGATACTTGCTCAAATGAGTATCTAGTTTTGTTACATGTTTATAGTATCGATAAATATCCGATTTTTTATACTTTTGACAACCCAACTGCGGATCTCTCAATCAAAAACCCAAACTGATCATTGACGAGAGAAAAGACTGAATCTGGATCACGCAGATGTTGGACGAACCTTTTTCCGGAGCTTTCCTCTGATGTGGCAGAGTCGTTTGGTGCCGTCGAAACACATCGCCTCCAGACGCCCGTTCCCCAACATTTTAATCACCTGAGCGTACTCTGAAAAAAAAAAGAGAACACGGCGACATTATTAGTGGAGTTGGTTTGATTCTCACATTCAGGCTCAGTCCAAGATCGTCCGATTAAAAACAAACCAAAGTCGTACCCACCTCTAAATACTGTGTTGTGTGAATGTGAACCTGTGTTTGAATGTGGGAGTGTGTGAAAAGTGAAATTGCACTGTTGTAAAGTGTGTTAGATAAACTTTTTTTGTCTAAATCCTACAATCAGTTAAATAAAAAGGAACAGGAGTTAATCAGCACTAGGTTCACACTCTGTACGTGTCACATCAGCTGCGTGTTTTGTCTGTGACTAAGCACGACTGCACTGTCCCTGTCAAATAAAAATAAATAAATACGAGTCATACGGAAAGTTATTACACATTTACACCCACATATCATCAGAGAATGTAAATAAAATAAACATTAACTAGATCTTCAGGCATTTAAACTAGAGGATTTGGCTTTCTGATAACTACCAGATCTAAACCAAGTCTATAACAGGACTATTGTAGGTCTGATTTAGAGCTAAACCAGGTCTAAAAGTGGACTACACCTTTTCCACTCTAGTTTCAAGCACAAAATGGAAAGGAAGTCCCGTTTAGGCGTTTCATTTTCACCTAAACTGGCAAGAGACTAAGTGAAAAACAGTTTGACACTAATTTTAGGTGTGAGAGACTTTGCTTGAGCGCACAAATCCTCTCACCTGTTGTAGTTCCTACCAAGTCGGTTCTTTCTGGTCGGATGGTGTTAAATAAAGCTCAGATTAAAGTCTAATAAATCCGCAGACAGAGCAGTGCCTACAGTTAGCATCACACTCCTGGGGAATGTTTATGGCATCAGCATGATTCATATGTACTTAGAGATAAGTCTTTGTCTGAGATATCTATTTTTGACTGTATTTATTTTAGTTTTACTATGTACTTTCTTCACATTTGTCGTTAACCTGCATTGTGTGGGGATGTGCAAAAATATTGAAATATCGAGATATCCAATCGTTTAATGTGATGATACAGTATCGATATCGTGGGCTGCTGTGTCGATATATCACCAAGAGTATTTTTTGGTATATTTTACTAGATTATTTTGGTACAGTGCTGCAGTTTTTGTCGCTTGTTTGGAGAAAGGAAACGTGTTTATGCGACACATTTGACATTTTCACTGTTTTGATGAGTAAAATTTTGTGTTTCATATTAATTTTGCACAAGAAGTGGTTGAACAAAGAATAAGTATCACAGCCTTTATGGATTTTGCCTTTAGTTTTATTGAACCGTATCGAATCGAAATAAAGGTATTTATCGTATTGGCAACTTCTTATATGTGGACGACACATGTTCGAAATAAACAAATAAATATATTAAACCTGAACCTAATCCTTCCAGACGTAAACGCAATTTTTGTACAATAGTCCTCACCTGGATTTTTTTTTTCTTCATTTTGCTGTTAAAACTCCACCTTTTGCCGCCTAATGAAGTGTTATACTTTTTTTTTTTTCCAATACAACCTGTTATTTCAGAATCTGCTGCTGTAGTTGTGTCATACGGCTGTACTAAAAGCAATAGATCAGAAATACAAAAAGGAAAATAAAATTCACACTCTTTCATTAAAAAACACACAGCAAACATGTATAAAAACGACCTTTTGGACATAAAAAAATTCTTAATTTAGGGCCTTAGCAACAAAAGTGAAAAAAAAAAATCAAGTCTAACTAAACTAAAAATATGCATATTGCCTCAAAACAAAACAAAAATTCCAATGGCCACATGACTTTACTGGTGCCAGTGATGGAAACAGGCCCGAGGCACAGAGTCACATCATTTCCTGCATTTCGATGGTGTGTTTTACGTTTGTATTTCTACATTTTGAGTGAAATAAACCATTCAAATAAAAATGGCAAGAGTGTGCATGTGACACAGGATAATGCTGGAAGTCTCAGCTGTTCAAGGGGAAAAAAGTACATTTCTGTCTTTTATGGTTTAACAGTTATGTGTGGTTATATAAAACATATTCCCAGATATTGTATACGATACTGTGGGTCTGGAAGGGTTAAATTGCCTCAGATGTTGCGTTGTATACCTCTCAACTATTATGAAACACACTGTCTTAGGACACAACCTTAAAGAGGCAGGGCAAGTCATCTGAACTCTATTTTCCCTAGAGATATTATTGAAACAACACCCAGTCAAAGGCTAAAACACAACTGAATTTCCTAAGGTTGCTCGAAAAGGGAAGAAACAAACTCCAGATAAGAGGAAAACAATGTAGAAAAGACGAGAATAATCAGGAGAAGACAATGCCAGAGACGACAAAAGAGACAAAAATTTGGAAAAAAGGGAGGGGACAAAACATACCACCCTTGATGCCTTTCAATCCTTAGCCATTGTTTCTCTTACATTACATTCAGACTAAAAAAATTATTCATGTTATGTTATTTTTTACTCATACTATTTGTGGAGTAAATATGACTCTTGAAATATGTATTAAAAAGTAGTTATTGGATTTTATGTTTAGGACAATACTAAGAAACAAAGTAGAGCTGATTATTTTAGTAGCTGACTAGTAAAATAGTTATTTCTATAGTTCATTGTGACATTTTAAGGTTAAATTAGGTTCAGTTTCAGTTAGTATCATTGTTTTTTTTTTTGCTATAATAGATAAACTGATTTAGTGTAGTTCCCTTAGTTCAATGTAGAGTCAGGGTTGTTTTAAGACTATGGAGGTGAAATTTAGACAATAAAGGGGCCACTATATTCTCTTCAATTGGTGGTAAACACCGCTTACCAGCCAACTATGTCCTTAATAATTTGTATGTTACAAATAAAGTGTATTTTGCATTTCAGTGGCATTTTGCATAGAGTGACCAGACGACCGTGTTTACCCAGGGCAGTCCCAGTTTTGGGCCGTGTCCCCTGTCCCAGCAGATTTATACAAAACCAGTGATTTGTCCCAGTTTTATACAAGAAATGTCCCAAGTCTCCCTATTTTTGGCCAATTTGATCTAAACCAGGACTAAACTAAGACTAAACCAGGACTACCTCTGATCTAAACCAGGATTAAAACTGGACTATGACAATTTTTCACTAATCTGATCAATGCCAACAGTAAAGAGGAGCATAAATTGTCATTTGTTGAGCCAAAATACAGAAAAACATGACCATAAAGCAAAAATACGCAGCGTGAGAAATTCCTCAGATTATGTCTGACATGAAAATCAGCCTGAGTATCATTAAGAAGTTGCAGATACGATACATCTCTCGGTACAACGCACTTTTGATTTGATAAGGCTCTGTAAAAATAAAGGGCAAATGATGGGTGTGATACTAAAAGTCTTTGTTAAATCACTTCTTGTGCCAAGTTAATATGAAACCCACTAATTTTACTCATCAAAACAATGAAAATGTCAAATGTGTCACATAAACGAGTTTCTTTCTACTAAACAAACAACAAAACTGTAGCGCTGTAACAAAATAATTTAGTAAAATATACCAAAAAATACTCTTGGCGATATATTGACACAGCAGCCCACGATATCGATACTGTATCATCACATTAAATGACACGATATCGATATTTCAATATTTTTGCACATCCCTGAATGAGAATACACAATGTTACGCGTTCTTTTCACCATTTTATTTACACCAACCATCCAAACCAGTGCGTGTGCGTGTGTCCAAGTGTTGAATCGTGAAAATGTGGTCAGCCTAACGCTGCGCCTCTCACCCTGTCCGTCCTCTTTGAACACGAGCTCTCTCTTCTCAGACTCATTCTCGTTCTTTCCACGTCGCCGATTCTTTCCTCCTTTACCTGTGAACAAACACCACGAAAGACAACTTTAAACTTCCATCTCACAGCTCGATATTTGTACAAACTTGACTTTCTCAGGTTTTAGACGGGGATTCGTGTGTAAAACAAAACCCAAACCCCCCGCTGTAAAACCCCATTGTTACATCACATTTTTTTACAGACGCACGTCGCTAAATAATCGATTTATATTCGGCAGCGACGCGTTTTAGCTTTAAACACAAAGTAAAACGCCATGACAGGAGTTAAACTGTGATAAACTGATAACATTAATCCAGATGTTACGGCCCAGCGGGTGCGGTTTAACTAGCCTTTAGCATGTTAGCTCCGTAGATTGTTTACTTTTATCTGCGCCACAACAACAAGGGAAGATGATGCCGATAACAACGAGGCTCTTGAGTCAAAACAACACGAACCTGACGAAAAATAAGAGATTTCAGTGGCGTTTTTTTTTGTTTAAATGTGTGATTTCTGGGTCACGGTGCTAACTAGCATTAGCCGTGCGGTGTCACGTTTTCACGGTGCGGCGGGACGGATCAACGCAGATCACAAATAAAACCCAAATTAACACGCTAAATCTTCCCGTCACTTACCTTTATTTTTGGGCATTCTCTTTCACGCCTTGGTCGATGTAAATTCCCCTCGACAGAACAGACCAACAGTGAACAGTTTAGTGTTTACAGACGGATAAAGTACGGGATGTTTCACTACGCGGTTAGCGCTGGGCTAGGCTAACAAATCCACCGGTCTGCGCATGTGCACCACAGGGCGTTCAAAACCGCTCAGCTTTATTGAAAAAAAAAACAATGTGACAGACACGCTGGGCACGATTCATTTCAAATCCGCGTGTCATTCGTAAATTAAATTAAAAATAAATAAATAAATAAAACCAAAAATAAGAAAACGAAAAAACAACTATTTTCTTTCATTATTTGTCTCCAACACCAAAAAAAAAAAAAATAAAAAAATAAAAAAATTGATGATAGAGGGTTTGTTTTTTCAGTTTTCGATTTTGTGTTTAAATGAATAATGGATAAAACGGATAACGGCCGTTTCCCGTTTCCATGATGTAAACTGTGATGCCAGACATTTGCTCCGCATACGGACTGAATCAGGACTGAACCTCAGTCACAGTCTGATCCCAGTCTCAGTTCTGGTGTGGTTCTGGTCTCAGTACTGGTCTCAGTCACGGTCTGGTCCCGGTCTAGTCTCGGGCTCAGTCCTGATCACATCACAGTCTACCGAGGCGCACCATCCTATTTTAGTCTTAGTTCAGTCCGTATGCGGCGCAAAAGTCCGACATTGCAGTTCAAGTCCATTATTCATTTAAACACAAAATCAAAAACTGAAAAAAAACAAATCATTATCTTTTTTTTTCATTTTGGTTTTGGAGGCAAATAATGAAGAAAATAGTTTTTTTTTTCCATTTTCTTATCTTTGGTTTTATTTTGAAAAACGAATGATACACGGATTATTTCAATAACCACGCATAAATGTATAATACTTCGGGTGACCAGATGTCTCTATTTACCCGGGACAGTCCCAGTTTTGAGCCCTGTGTCCCCTGTCCAGCAGATTTATCCAAAACCACTGATTTGTCCCAGTTTTACATAAGAAATGTCCTAGGTGTCCTTATTTTGACCAACTTAATACTTGCCAACAGTAAAGAGAAACATACATTGACATTTGTTTAGGTAAAATACAGAAAAGATGCTTAAAAAAGACCAAAACACAAAGAAAATGTGACTATACTGACTTAGTCATGAAGTGTATAACAATTTTCCTTAATTATGCACTTGTTTCACAATTTTATTATTACCAACCACCAAAAAAACAGGAATGTTCAAGTTTTTTATTTTAAAATTCTGGTCACCCTAAAATGGCTTTTTAAAAAACATTATATCAAGTCAATTTCGTGCAATATAGGACCTTTAACGTAGAATAAATGTTGATATGTCAATTTTTTACATCAACATTTTGGGGAAACAGCGGCTCCAGTTATAACCAAATGTTTGCTGAATTGTATTGAATTTGATTACAGCTAGGTTGTTGTTCCCTTGGGCATGACACCTCTCCCAGACCGATGGCACAGATTGGCAGCCACTACTGTCAATCAGCCCTGAGGCAGATAAAGCTACAACAGAGGTTTACCACAGAGAGTGCAGAGTGGAAGAATAATGGAGGTACATGGTTTTCCGGAAAGAAAAAAACAATACAAAAAACAATATCTTTTGTCTGATAATGAATTTTATTATTTTACTATAAAGTCCGGCCGTCGCTGCGAATACAAAATGGCGGCCGGTAGCAGCAGGACAAACGCTAAAAGAACAAGGAGGTAAAGAAGAAGAAAGCTTTTCCCATTTTTGTCATAAACATTTTTTATCATAACACAAAAAAACCCTTTTACATCCTGTTCCCAGAGCTGTACATTTAGAGGCAGACTTATATAACCATTTAAAACATAAAATCATTTCCCTTTATTTATATATTTAAACAGTAAAACACATAGAAGAGCCTGATCAGACAGTTGTGTTGTTGAAGTCAGCTTGTTTTTCCAGCAGATTTTTGACAAAGAATGAACTGCACAATATTGGAAGGACACGTAGAGCTCGGGATTCATAGTATTTTCAGTGAGTCTAGGAGATTTAAAGATGCTAAACACTCTTCGTCTTAAAGTTCATTCAGAAGTTTTCAGTTCATCAGGTTGTTCCACAGCTTTTTGTTTACTTTTTAACATGATCTCGATCACAGTTTTGCACTACAGTCACAATCATTTTCCAAGCTCTATAGTCAAAAGTGTGGACAGATTTTGTACTTTTTAAAATGTTTTGTGTGGATTAATTTGCTTGATTTCATTTTCTTTCTAGATTCAAAGTTGAAGTTTGAAAAATACATTTGACATTTGGGGTAGACCATGGTTTAGTCCTGTCTTAGGCTACGTTCAGACTGCAGGGCTTTTTTTTTGTGTGCTAAAAATAATTAAATGTGAAGATGTGTCCAGACTTTCGACTTCCAAACTGCACGTCCGATCAGATCCAAGAAACTTTGCATAAATCCTGCCAGTTTTGGTAGAATTACATGAAAAGTGATGATATTCCAGACTTTGTTTTAACTGAAGTGCGTGAGTTTGGCTGATCAGGCTAATAATACAACAATACTCATACAGACAGAAGCAGGACTATGTTTTTTTTAATAAAATTTTGTTGATTGTCTTTAAATATGATTAAAAAAACAAACATTCAAGACTCCATTTTCCTGTACATGTCTACGCCTCATAGTGAAGCCCAGATGCATTGTGGGAAATGTAGGCACGAGGGTTGCTATTGTTATTCCTGCTTCTCACTTAAAAAAAAAAAAATCATACATTTCGATATCACGTAATCGTAAGTTTTCTCGAAATTTTGTGAAATTAAAAGGAATGTTTTGTTGCTTTTTAAAGGGCTGCATTAAACACACGTTGCGTACAGTAGAAGACTTGAACCGACCCGGAGTGACCCCACTTCCAGGTCACGTGACGCTGTGCTTTTGTTTTGAGTCGCGGCTCGGACTCGGATGCATCGTAAAAACCTGAGAAAGTCGTGAAATTATTTACAGTTTTGTTTATAGACAGGAAGCTTCATCGTCTGAACAAAACATGGAAAGACAGTTCAACTATTCAACCCTCAAGAGGAGAAAACAAGAAGAGGAAATGTGGGTATGTGATAGAAGTCTTTACTAAAAAATCCCCCAAATTCTGGTTTGAGCAAAAAGCTTTAAAAGGCCTGTATCCAATTTTATTTTCAGTGTATTTCAGTAAAATTTGTCTTGTTCGATATATAGTATAAGCAGCTCTTGGGGTCAAAATAAGTCTGCTGTGCACTTTCGGACTTCCGGTCATTGCGCAATACATACTGGGAAGGATTTACCGAAAAAGTGAGCATCAAACCTCCGTGTTTGATTTCCTAGTGGGATGTGTCTATTGACAAAGCCGAGCTTTTCAAGTCTTTTGAATGATATTGCTTTGGTTCTGATTCTGATATTGTCATATTTTAGTTTTGGGATTCGGACATCGTAATAGTGTGGTTGTTGGACGTCCTAATACTGGAAAACGCCTTGAGAAATTTGTTCGCGAACTCCATAAATGAAAAAGAGAATCAGATGTGTGTGACTCCAAACCTCTGTTCAAACTGTTTCCCTTCCCAACGGAATTGAAAAATAGTGAAAGGTGAAGGCGATGGGCAGGATTGATACACAGGAAGGACCAAAAATTAAACCTTTGACTGCCTAAATCATTCCGAGTTTGCGGTGAACATTTTGTATGTGGAGCACCATCAAAGCAGGATCCCGTTTGTTAATCGAGAGGTGCAGAAGACAAACAGGCTGAGCTGCACTTTCTTGTTCTTGTGGTTTTACAGCAACATCACGTCTAGGTCGCTTTGCAGCGGAAGGAGTTTCCTGGCGAACCGTTGGTGCCTTTCACTTTGGCGTTGACTTTTTAAATTCGTAACCAAGGATGAGTGAGGGATCGGGGTTTTGCTTTGTTGGCACTCCACGTACAAAATGTTCGCTGCAAACTCGGGATGATTTCTTAGGCAGCCAAATGTTTCCTTTTTGGTCCTTCCTGTGGATCAATCCTGCCCATCGCCTTCACCTTTCACTATTTTTCAATTCCGTTCAGAAGGGAAACAGTTTGAAAGGAGATTTGCAGTCACATCTGATTCCCTTTTGCATTTATAGAGTTCGCAAACAAATTTCTCGAGCTGTTTTCTGCTGTTAAGACATCCAGCAACCACACAATTACGATGTCCAAATCCTAAAACTGAAATATGACAAAATCAAAACCAGAAACAAAAGCGATATGGTTCAAAAGACTTGAAAAGGTCGACTTTGTCAATAGACACATCCCACTGAGAAAACAAACATGGAGGTTTGATGCTCACTTTTTCGGAAAATTCTTCCCAGTATGAATTACGCAATGACCGGAAATCCGAAATTTAATTATAAAGCGTTTTATCGTCCGTTAATCAGGAAGTGCGCATTAGTATGGTAGTTTTTGTTAGCTCTACACTCAGCTCTGGTTTCTGAGAGTTGTGAAAATCGCTTCTAAACTCATCACAGTGAATAATTAGGACATTTGGAATGCATAAAATAAGTAAGAAATCATTTAAGACCACTGTAAACTGTTTAAAATGAACTAGTTCTGTTTTTTTTACACGTTTTTAAGACTGTAAAAATCAAGTACTACGCCTTTAAATATGTGTTTTCTGTTATATTTGGAGAAAATGTTTGCAAAACCGGTAAGCGACCTAACTTCTCCTATTACTACTCCTACATAGACACCCACTGCTAAAAAGATATACAAAAAATACACAAATTATACTTAAATTAGCGTCTTAAAATTCAAATCGATCTCTTGGAAAAGCTGTTGCGTGACTAGAACACTTTTTTTTTTTTTTTCCAAATTTAACTGGAACTTTTAGGCTTGTTGTGCTTCTTGTGTTATCTGTGCATAGATAGGAGGAGTAGGTCAAAGTTTTTAGATAAGGTCGTGTTTGAATTTTGTAACTTTTAAAGACTTGAAATGTGCTCAGAGTTGGTTTACAGATTTCTAAAGAAGCCCACATTTCTCTTGTTTGTTTTCTGCTGTTTTGACTGTTGTGAGAGGACGCTATCTACTCTTTAATGGATGCGGTTGACTTTTCGTTGCTGATTTTGCTTCCTGGCTTTAACACTAGTTTCAGCCTTAGCCCCTTTTGTACCTCCTTTTCCTACAGGGATATTTTTGGTAATTTTTAAAGAGCAAAGTTTAATGTATTCTCGGTAAACGTGAACGAGTACGGTGAATTTGTGACTCCATGATTGTCGGTTGGGTCTCAAATAACATCATAATTATACAGAAATGGAAAATTACAAGTGCTAATAATCCGTGTATCATTTGTTTCGCTTCGTCACAGCTTCTTCATTATTTGTTTCCAAAACCAAAATGAAAAAAAACGGATAATGATTAGTTTTTCAGTTTTCGATTTTGTGTTTAAATGAAGAATGGAAACAACTTATAACGGCCATTTCCCGTTTACTTCCCTGAATGCGATGCCGGGCTGAACCAGGACTGATTCAGGTCAGGGACCAGACCGGGACCAGACCGGGACCAGACCTGAACTGAGACCAGGCCTGAGACCGAGGCCAGACCGGGACCGAGGACCTGCCAGACCGGACTGAGACCGAGGCCAGACCGGGACTGAGACCGAGGACCAGACCGAGACTAGGACTGAGACCGAGGCCAGACCGGGACCAGACTGGGACCAGACCAGAGTCTCAGAGTCCACAGCAGGGCCGGAGCTCAAAGCTGAGGCTCGGACCCCACGGAGGCTCAGAGTCAAAACTCGGAGTCTGCTCTGGTCCCGCTCTGTCCCGCTCTGGTCCCGCTCTGGTCCCGCTCTGGTCCCGCTCTGGTCCCTGGATCAGTCCTGGTTCAGTCAAAACTGAAAAAACAAATTGTTATCGTTTTTTTTTTCATTTTGGTTTTGGAGACAAATAATGAAGAAAATTGTTGTTTTTTCATTTTCTTATTTTTGATTTTATATTGAAAAACGAATGAACGAATGATACACAGACGGTTTGTTAATATGCAGATTTTTGTTCAGTTCAAGAGTCTAGTTACTAACAGAAAAGAATCAGGTTTAACATTTGCAGATTTTACTATTTAATATTTCTTATGACCGTATTTTGTCTCCTCTCTGGCATCAGTTTGTAATTAATACTTGAAAAAAACACGAAAACAAATGGCATTAAAACAAAGTGCTATAGGTTAATGACTCAATTTTCTGATACAAGAAACGCGTTGATTTTTGAGTGAGTTTGTGAAGTTTTGTTTGCATCGTCCAAGTGCAAAAGAAGAATGTTGCTTTTAAATGATTACGCTCGACAATTGTGCATTTTTTGTTTGTCCGAACATGGAAAAACCCAACTAACCAAACCAAAAATATCCCAAAATAGGCTGCCGAAAAGGGGCTTGCGTAGCTTTAGCCTTGGGTTCCTTTGTTCACTTGCAGCTAATACTTAAACTAACTGTTCGGCTCACCTTTTTCATATCGGAGGCGACTTGCGGTTGAGTAAATGCAGATCTACTACAGCAGATTGACCACAGTACAATAGTAATCCCATAACAATAATAATAGTCTTTGTATAGTCTTTGAATGCATACAATTTCTCTCCTTAAGAATAAATATGTACTTTCTGATTGTCTTGCACGGAGGAGAGGGCCAATCAGAGGCGTGGGAAGAGAGAAGGGGGCGGGGTTAAGTGGCGAGGACGACCAGTGAAAGGAGGTAGACAGGGAACGGGCGGAGTGGGTTCGGTAAAAGAGCCAATCAGAGGCTGAGGAGGGTTGGAGAGAGGGCGGGACTTCAGTGCGGAGAGCCAATCAAAGGCCATGGAGTGACAGCGGATATGGCTTCGAGTAGAGACGGACCAATCAGATGAGGCGGAAGAGGAGAGAGAGAGAGAGGGCGGGGCTTCAGTGTTGAGGAGAGCCAATCGGAGGGCATGGCTTCGGTACAGTGGAGAGCCAATCAGAGGCGGCGTCGGGGTCAAAGGCGGGGTTTCAGTGTTGAGGAGAGCCAATCAGAGGCAGTGTTAAGTTTTCAGTGTTGGGGAAAGCCAGTCGACCTTTTTCACAACGGCCGAATATGCCCAGCTGTAGGTTTGCAGAACTTCTGGTTACCGTATTTTCCGGGCTATTAGACGCGCTCTTAAGCCTCTAACCGCATCAAAAAACGACTGCGCGCCACAATCCAGAGCACCCCATACACGAATCCACTTGGGTGTCCCAGCACGACTTCAGTAAATTATAAAGCCGCACCACTCACAGTGCAGGCAAACACACACGGAGCAGACAGCGACCGCGCAACGAAACACACCCACAGACAGTGTTGGGGAGTAACAGATTACATGTACTGGAGTTACGTAATCAGACTACAAATTATGAGTAACTGTATTCAGTTACAATTACTGTTTCACTGAGTGGTAATTGGATTACATTTACTTTGTTGAATTAAATGGATTACACGGCGGTATTTTCCTGTTTTCACATTTTGGGCTATTCCTTTTTTTCAGTAATTCCACTCATTGCCGGGCACTAAACCAGGTCTAAACCAGGTCTAAACCAGGTCTAAACCAGGTCTAAACCAGGTCTAAAACCAGGTCTAAAACCAGGTCCAAACTAGGTCTAAACCTGGTCTAAAACCAGGTCTAAACTAGGTCTAAACCAGGACTAAAGCAGGACTAAAACTAGGTATAAACCAGGTCTAAACCAGGTCTAAAACCAGGTCTAAAACCAGGTCTAAAACCAGGTCTAAACCAGGTCTAAACTAGGTATAAAACCAGAACTAAACCAAGTCTAAACCAAGTCTAAAGTCCGTTGCGGTTTATTTGTGAAAAAAGTTCGAAAATACACCATTCAATGACAGTGTGTTTTATAATCCAGAGCGCCTAATAGCCCGGAAAATATGGTAATGCTTTTATGTGGCAAAATGTGTGTGTAAATGTCTTGCGTATTCTCCACCGGCTTCATAAATCTGCCCCATCACCAAATCTTCAACGAACAAGGTTGACAAAGGACAAAATTATGGATATTTTAGGTCAATCATAAGTTAAGAAAGACGAAAACTTAAAGACGAACAACGAGTGAACTACTGAGCAAAACTAGTGTTATGGTCATGAATAAAACATAAGTAACTTGTTCACTCAGACTGACTCTAGAATTAAAACTAAAAAATCGATTTCATGATGTCGATATTAGCATTGATAGATAAATTTGTGCTGTTCAAACACTGGACATCTCTAGGATACCATAGCGTTAGTTTTGTTCAGTAGTTCTCTAATGCGTCGTCGTTGTTCGCCTTTATGTTTTCGTCTTTCTTACCTTGATAGTTGTGGATAGATTCTTCATGGAGGAATGTTTATCCTTTGTGGACCTTATTGGTTGAAGATTTGGTGATGGGGTAAGTTTATGAAGCTGACATTTCCACAGATATTTTGCCAGAGAAAACCATTAACCGGACGTTCCGCAAACCTACAGCGGGGCACTTCCGAAAAAAAGGTGAAAAAGGTTTATTGGAGGCTGTTTCGAGGTGGAGGGTGGGGCTCGACCTTAGAGGAGAGCCAATCAGAGGCTGCGTTGGGGCTTCAGTGTTGAGGAGAGCCAATCAGAGGCTGCGTTGGGGCTTCAGTGTTGAGGAGAGCCAATCAGAGGCAGTGTTAAGTTTTCAGTGTTGGGAAAAGCCAGTCAACCTTTTTCACAACGGCCAAAAGTGCCCCGCTGCAATTTTGCGGAACTTTTTATGACAAAATGTCTGTGGAAATTCTCCACCGGCTTCATAAATCTGCCTGCCCCATCACCAAATCTTCAACCAACAAGGATCCACGAAGGATAAACATTCTGTCCATGAAGAATTTATCCACAACTATCGAGGTAAGAAAGACGAAAACTTAAAGGCGAACAACGACGACGCATTAGAGAACTACTGAGCAAAACTAACATTATGGTCATGAATAAAACATAAGTGACTTGTTAACTCAGACTGATTCTACAATTAAAACAAAAAAAAAACAACTTCATGATGTCGATATGAGCATAGATAGATTTGTGCAGTTCAAATGCGAGACATCTCTGGGATACCGTAGTTCTCTAATGCGTCGTAGTTGTTCGCCTTTAGGTTTTCGTCTTTCTTACCTCGATAGTTGTGGATAAATTCTTCATGGACAAAATGTTTATCCTTTGTGGACCTTGTTGGTTGAAGATTTGGTCATGGGGCAGGTTTATGAAGCTGGTGGGGAAAGCATGAAAGATTTCCACAGACATTTTGCCACAGAAAACCATTATTCGGAAGTTCTGCAAACCTAAAGTGGTGTGAACTTGTGAAGAAGGTCTATCAGAGGCTGCGTTGAGGTGGTGGATGGGGCTTAACCTTTGGAGAGAGCCAATAAGAGGCTGCGTTGGAGTGGTGGGAAGAGCTTCAGTGTTGAGGAGAGCCAAACAGAGGCTAGATTGGGGTTCTCGGCATGGCTTCAGTACGGTACAGAGCCAATCAGAGGCTGAGTTGGGGCTTCAGTGTTGAGGAGAGCCAATCAGAGGCTGCGTTGTTGGAGTGGTGGTCGGAGTTTCACAGGGCAGTGGAGGTGATTTTCTTGATTCCTCGTCGTTGGGCCAGAGTCGAACACCCCACAGGCTCCAGGACGGGGGGAACGTTCCTATTCAGAGCAGAGTACGTTGCTGCCATCGCCCCCTGCAGAAGAAAAGGTCAAATTACTCTTATGTTATTGTGAAATAGTCAGTGTCCAGGTGGAGGTCTACAGTCTGTCCTCGTTCAGTAAAAGCTTGTTGTTTATAGTGGGCAAAATGGTGCAAAATGATTACAAAACATTTTTGAAATCTTTGAACCTGGATTTGTTTTAGTTTTTTGATGATTGCACGTAAAAGCAGCGAGAGGAAACAAAAGGTAAGTGAAAACAAAAATTTTAAGAGCACTCAAACATACACGACTCAATCTAAATAAAACTGGGTAAACTAATTATGGCGAAATAATAAAAGAGGCCATATTATTGACCTAAAACATCCTTAATTTCAGCACAGTCTAGTTCTGTTGTTGAAGTTGCTGCTCCCTGGCTGCTCTGGTCTTTACCTTGACGAGGTGGGGGGCGTCCTGTCTGTTCAGGGTGTACTTGGGCAGGTGGTCGCGGTGAGTGATCCAGGGGTGCCTGAGCACCTGTCCTGCCGTCAGGCGCTGGTGAGGGTCCACGTGCAGCATCTTAGACACCAGGTCCTGAACAAACAGAGGAGAGAGGAGAACATTTACATTTATAGAGCAAAGAGCCAATATCATCCTTTAAAAATAACTTGGATGTGGATTGTATGAGTTTAGATTTGCCTTCTGTCAACAAAATTATTCTAATCTACAGCTGACAAATGACTTAAAATAAACTAGTTCACTGAATTCCATGTTAGGAAACTGTGGTCCCCAGTGGAAGCACATCAGTGCCATCACAACAAAGGAATCACACAGCTGTTTTTCTTTTGCACCAAAATGAACATGTGACGTTGCCGAATCCTGTGTGTATCACCAATTAAGAAAATAGAATCCACCCAACTTTTTTTTTTAATGCATCACAAGTCAACCAGGGATGAATGTGGGTTCATGTGTGTGAATTGTGTGAGTATGTGTGTAGGCTTGTGTGTATGTGGATGTGCGTGCACATTCCTGTGCAGGCAGGTGCGTGCATGCATGTGTGCGTGTGAATGTATGCACATGTACATATATATCAGGGACGGGGAGCATTCAGACCGGGAGGTGGTTCATTGGGGGGTGGGCCGGCCTGGTCGATGGGCGACCACATGCGGAGCCCTGGGGGTGGCCCCCGCACCCGCCTTGGGGGGCATGAATGTGGCTTGGCCTGCTCCCACTTCAGTGGGGATCTGAGGCAAAATGCCAACACACACTTAACAAATTTTCAATACTCAAATTAAATAGCAATAATACAGGTCAACATTAAATCATCCGCATAGCCTGTCTATCCCCCCCCCGGCACACATACATACACACGCGTATGCACACACATACACACACACATACACACACACACGCACGCATATACACACACACACACACACACACAGACACGCACACACACACAGACACGCACATAAGGTTCACACTGTCACCAACCCCTGTCATCTTTGTTCCTATTTGTATGTAATGTTCAGTCGTAATGTCTGTCTTGTATCTTGTATGTCGTTTGGTTCCTATTTGTTGTAATCTATGTAGTTTGCAAATAAAAATTATTATAAAAAAAGAAAAAAAAAAAAAAAAGAAAAAAGAAAGTAGAATCTGTAGTGTAGAGAAGTGGACGAGTGCTGGTGAATGTGAAAGTGGGTTTACAATGTGTGGTCTTGGAAAAAAAAAGCAATTAAAGATTGCTCAAACATGCATGAATTACTCCATATACAACATGTAAAGGGTAAATGGTGACGGGAAACAACTCAGAAACTCTGAAAACAAAGCTCTGAACTGTCGATTTTGCACAACAGGTCTGTTTTAAAGCATTTAAAGCATATCCAAAGACAACTTTCTCACACAGGAGACAATAAAGGGTTATCTTAAGAACAATTATCTTAAATCACAATTTTAATTTATCCTTCAGTCTGTAGTTCTATATTATCTATTAGACATAACTAAAGTTGTCTTCTTTTTCTGAGATTTTCCATTTCACTGTGATCTGTCTAATCTGAAAATTCACTCAAGAGTGGGTGTAATAATCATTTTATGCCATCAGATGGCGCTGTGTACCTTGGCCTCTGCAGACACAGAGGTCCAGTATCCTCCGCTCAGAGAAAACTTCCCGCTGCCGATCCGGGCCAGAATCTCCTCCGGCGTGTCCTCGGGGCCGTTGGCAAAAGGAGTGAAGCTAAAAACACAAAAACACTTCATTGGACAACAGTCTCTTGCTCTTTTTTGGTACTTATTTAGAATTTATTATAATACATTGTGATGTGTGAGCTACTGTGTCCAAGTAATTCTCCTTGTGGATCAATAAAGTTTGTCTAAGTCTTTATAGTTGAAGATGGAGGAAATTCAAAGAACAGGATAGTAAAGACAGAATGAAGACAGATTTAACAATGGCAAAATTACCCAAAATCCTGTATTAAGGCACCCCAATCTCAACAATACAGTGCCCAGACAAATACTACCATTTAAAAAAATAATTATTACACTTATTAGGAATGGGACAAGACAAAGTTTCCACAAGACGACGAGATTTTAACCTACTTCCTAATACAGTATATGCATTTCACAGTTCAGTTTCCGATTTTGGCCTTACAATTTTGCTATTTATTCCATTTCATAGTTTTGTTTCCATTCTGGTTCTGCTTTTTGGAACTGTAAGAGATGCAGCTCACCAACATGTGACCATTTTTGTCCAGTCTAAATGTAACAGGGTTCCTACTCTTTGTCACTGACAAAATTTCAAAACTTTTCCATGACTTTTTCATGACCTAAAGTGAATTTTGTGTAGAACTGATCACACTTGTTTGTTGTTAACCCTTTCCACTCACCTTATGGTTTGGTATTTAAAATTCAAAATACTGTCAGTGCATTTATTTTCATTTATTTTAAACAAAAAGCACACGCGTTCAGAAATAATCATAATAGCCTAGTGATAACTTAACAGAACACTGTAGTTGCGTGAAAGAGATATGAAAATTCCATGACTTCTCCAAAACTTTAATTGAATTTACAAAATTCCATGACTTTTTCAGGCCTGGATAATGCCATTTTCCATTTCGATGATTTTTTTTCCCATGAACCTGATGTAAATACGTGAAAAAAAAACCTCACAAGATAACTTTTCTCTTGTGTGCACAATCTTGCGGCAATTTTGTTTCGCGAGATCTTGGGGCACGAAATCTCACAGCATCCCTTCTTATTAGTTTTAGATTCAATTAGTATCTGATTTTATTTACTTTTGTCAACCCTAATAATGAATAATTCAATCATTTAAAGTGTGCCGTTTACTGACCCCGTGAGCATGGTGTAGAGGAGCACCCCCAGACTCCAGATGTCACAGGCAGCGTCATAGCCCTGCTTCTTTAAGACCTGCAACAAAACCACACAGACTGTTCATGTTTCTGTTCACAGATGTAAATATTTATAAAAAAATGCACTTGTACATCATAATACAGGCTCCTGCTCTCCATCCAGAGGTTTAACAGTGATAAAAATTTGCACTGTTGCCGTAGAAATTCAACAATTCAAAACAAAAGTCCTCAAAATGGTGTCTACAAACAGGACAGTGGAGCTCATGAGTTGTTCGTTAGTGTTGTTTGTCACCTCTGGAGCGACGAAGTTGGCGGTGTAGCACGGCGTCATGAGCAGCCCGTTTTCGGCGCGGAGCTGTTTGGCGAATCCGAAGTCGCAGATGCGGATGGACTCGGCGTTCCCGCTCTCGTCCACGTAGAGGATGTTGCTGGGCTTCAGGTCTCTGTGCACCACCTACACACAAAAGAAAGGACTTTATGAAAATGAATAGAAGTGATACTATAGAAGAGTGTTGTCATGATGTTAAAATGTCTCGATTTCGATACTTCGGGATAGACTTGATACTCAATATCAATTTTTTTGGACAGCTGAATGTCATTTTCATCATTAAATATTCCCATGTGGTCTTATATCTGTGCAAAACTATTCAGGAAAGGTTCATTTCTGTCCTGTGAATGTGACTTTTTAGTATCGATACCTGCTAGAATGAGTATCTAGTTTCGATCCCAGTTTTAGTATTGATTAGTATCCTGTTTTTCGATACTTTTGACAATCCTACCATAGAGAATACGAAGTTGTACAAGAATTATTTTTAAAGACTGAATTGTGTTTTTAAATATCTGGTCTAAAGCAGGACTACGACGTTTCAAACCCAGACTAAAGACCAGGTCTAAACAACAAAATTGGGACTAAACTAGGTCTTAACCAGAACTAAACCAGGTCCAAATAGGGGCTAATCGGGGCTTAACGACATGTAGAGCAGTGTAAAGAAAATCTGAAACCTAACCAAGTCTGAACCAGGTCTGAACCAGGTCCGAACCAGGTCCGAACCAGGTCCGAACCAGGTCCGAACCAGGACTAAACACCAGGAATAAACCAGGTCCAAAGTAGGGACTAAACAGGTCTTATCCACATGTAGACCAGTATAAAACAAATCTGAAACCCAGTCTAACCAACTCTAAACCAGGTCCAAAATAGGGATTAAATTGGTTTTATCCACATGTAAATCAGTATAAAGAAAATCTGAATCCTAAGCAAGTCAAAACCAAGTCTAAACCAGATCCAGACCAAGTCAAAACTACTTAAATCTAACCTAACTCAAGACTCAACCCAAACCCGGTCTTACAAATTATTACTTGATAAGTCAAACTGTGAGAAAAGGTGAGTTTTGATGTGTTTTTTAGTGAGTCTGAGGTTCTGGTGTGAAAGGAGAAAGGTCCAGACGGTGCGGATGTTTGATTTAACTGCGGGAGTGAAAAGTTTTGAGTCTGCTGATTGGAGTCGGGTCTGGACGAGGTCAGAGACGTGCGGAGGCTCTTTGTGTCTGTATTTTGATCCTGAAACTGTTGTGTTTTTTTTGTTTGGGGAGCGGGTGTGGGCGTGTTGTTGGCCTTACCCCCTGGACGTGCAGATACTCCACCGTCCTGGTGATGGTGTACAAAACTGCACTGGCTTCACGCTCAGAGAAAAACTTCTGTCTGAGGATTTTGTCCAGAAGCTCTCCTCCCTTCATCAGCTCCGTGACCAGGAACACAGACCGACCATCGTCATACACCTGAGGAAGAGAAATTAAACGTCATTAAATATAAAAATAGTGAATCAACCTGTCAGTCACTCCCTTAGTAAAATCACGTCATGTCATGTGTGGTTTTGGCTCGGCAGGTACATTTTTCACGCACCAATTACTGAAAATAATAATTAAGCTGTGTTCAAACCTCATCTTGTCTTTGATCTAATTTTGTGTTAAACCCCTGAGAACTATGTCATGAATGTACATAATTATTGTTCTATTATTAGTACCGTAAATTCCGGACTATAAGGCGCTACTTTTTTCTCAAACTTTGAACACTGTGGCAAATAAAACAATGCGGCGAATATATGGATAGATTATTAGTTGGGCACATTGTCCATTCATAAATATGGTCTATGGTTTGGCAACACAGCGGATACAAGCAGCCTGAGTGCAGAAAACGTCGCTGTCTGTGCGGGTGACCCATGGATCTAGGGTTCACATGAAGATACTACACGAGCTTGCGATATTGTCAGCGCACTCAAATAATTTATTGCTGTCTGATAAAATAAGTTACGATGCTAAATGAACATTAGTGAGGGGGATACGTCTTACTCGTATGCGCAAATGACAAGAAGAAACGTCTCAAACTCTTGTAGCCGGACATCCACTCATACCTGATCAATACAACTATCCTCGCCCCCGAGAGAGTCTGAAATCTGCTGAAATCCTACGAGACGCTGACATGATACAGACAGGACAGAGGCTCTTTCTGCAGGAGACATGTGCGGGGAGAGACGGGGTTGATGCGCCGAGGAAGATTCTAGTTTTATTGTGTTTTGAACAGTTATTTTGCGCTTCATACACACTCCCTCCTCATGGAAAACACACGAAAAAACACAGATGATGCAGCTTTTAAGTTAACGGCGATTGATGTGGCTGTCGAAGAAGGAAACAGAGCTGCTGCATGTGAGCTTGGCATCAGTGAGTCGATGGTGAGATTTTGGCAACGGCAGCGTGATGAACTGACTCAACGCAAAAAGACGACAAAGCTTTAAAAGGCGATAAAAGCAGACGGCCCGAACTTGAAAACCTTCTTGAAGACGTGGACACCTGCGGCTTATATTCAGGTTCGACTTATATATGTACAATTTTAAAATTTAGTTAAAATTTAGTTGATGCAGCTTGTTTTCAGGTACGCTCAATAGTCCGGAAAATACGGTACATCCGAAATAAGAAAACAATATACATGGATGGTTGCCTGGTTGGCTCTGTGGTCTGGTTCCAAACCCTCTTTCTTATTAAAAACGTATGAACTGAGTCTCACATCTTTGAGTGTGATGATGTTCGGGTGCTGTCCGTATCTCAGCAGGATCTCCACCTCCTCCGTCGGGTCTCTCTTCGACTTGTTAATGATCTAAAACACAAGAAACACAGAATAATAGAGATTTTTTGGGTGTACCACTAGAGATTTTACACATTACAGACGACGATTTAAACGTAAAATGTAACTTTTGTGGTGGAGGATGCTTCGCTGCATGGAGATCTTAATGCTTTTACCTGGAATCTTTAACAGTATGGCTTTAAACTTATCTTTTTATTCAATTAAAGCTGTTTTTATTGCTCAAACATACCTTGAGAAACATGCACTATTACTGTCAGTGGGCTTGCCTCTTCACAGATCTGGCTTGCAACACGGCCAGGACGTAAGTAACATTTTCAAAGCGTGATTAATGAAAGATTTGGCTTGATTTGAATCCAGAACGTCACCTTAATTCATTCATTTTTTGTTTGATTGCTTCTTACAAATAAATTACAAGAATCCACGATTTTGGAGAAGGTGACGCAGACGCCAAATCTATCAACTTCACCAATTTAACCACTTCACCGCACTTAAGATTTCGAGAACCACCAGCTCACTTTAATAATAATAATAATAATAATCTCAAGACATAGTTTGCGTCTAAAAAACAGTTGGGTCGGTATTTAGTTTTAAAACTGTTAAGAAAGTGTTAAAACTCCAGAGGATGCCCACTCAGAGTCATGTTGCTTCCTCTAGATCGGGATCGGGAGCAGGTGAGAAACAATAACAAAAAAGAACAAAGAAACAAAAGAAAAAGGGAGGAAGAAGAGAATGAGGTGGAGAAGAAAAAGAAGACGAGAGGTGAACGGAATCAGATGTCGCAGGACAGCAATAACATCTCCATGTAGACAAGCGGACCCCCACTAAAAAGTCAAATTTTTAACACAAAAACAGTCAATCTTTTTCCTCCAAAGTCTAAATTAATTGACATCGAAGGCGTTTAGAAATGACTGAATCTCGAGTGAACTGAACTGTATTAATGCTCTATCAAAAGCCGTCCTTTACAACATGTACTGTTTGTGTGTTGTGCGTACAGACCTTGACGGCGTACTCCATCCCGGTGCCTTTGTGGACGCAGCGTTTACAGACGGAGTAGGAGCCCACGCCGATGTCCTCTTTGATCTCGTACAGGTCTGAGAAATGTGACGTACTTCTGTGTAACTGCTGTAACACATGAACGAATATCAGAGGGGACACAGGAAAAATATATGTACAATATAAAAAAATAAAAATAAAGGACAGTGTTTTTTAGGCTTTTTTAAACATCTAAAAAGAGGGGATCTAGAATTTGTAGTTCAAATTGTCTTCACAGATAAAAGGTGAACATAATAAAATCATATCACTTACTGAAAACATTTGTAACTGTAAATAATTATTCTTATTGACAAAAACATTCAATCACGTCACTTTTCATACATTTGAAGAAACATAAAACATAAAGCTTCTAAAGATTATAGTAAAAACAAACATGGAGAGCTAAAAATACATGGAGACTAAGTAAAATAAAAATAATAATAATAAAAATTTAAAACATTATTATTATTACATTTTGAATTTATGTTTAAAAATATGAGTCTCATTTGGGTTGCCAGTTTCAAAGCTGAAATCCAGTATATAATTAAGCCTATATTTTGTATATTTTGTGTATTAAAAAGCCCTATATCACCATATTTTTCGGACTATAAATTGCACTTTTTTTCATGTTTTGGGTGTTTCCTGTGACTTATACTCTGGTGCGACTTATATATGTTTTTTTCTTTTTCATTATGCATTTTTTGGCTGGTGCAACCTATACTCCGGAGTGACTTAAAGTGCAAAAAATATGGTAAATAAAATGCATTATTAGTTTGTGTTCGCACTTGTACGATGGTGTTGGGTGCAGGCTGTGTCTCTTCTTCTGTGATGGCCACGAAGCTGAACCCTCTGAAGAGCTGATGGGCGTTTGCGCTCGGAGGGACGCCCGGAGAGTCTGAACAAATGAACAAACAAACAAACAAACAAACACAAGCAAATTATGTAAAATAAAAATATACAAATACAAATTTTAAACAGATTCCTCCTCTCCGGCACGCTTTTCAGATTTTCACAATGTTGACATAAAAAATAAACATTACCTCTGGGAGTTTTTGCTGTGAATTCTGGGTCGAAGTAAAAGGTGTCGTCTGGTCTTCCTGCTGCAGGTTTGAACGGAGGGTGGATCTCTCTCCGAAATAATTTCTATGGAGAGAAAAACAAAAAAGAGGTCACATTTCCTGCATGTTTAAACAATAATGCATTTATCACAGTTTCCCATTAATGAAGGAGAGACTACGATAGACCCCCGTAACTGAATTTCTGCCCCTACTGAAGGCAAATGATAAATCAAATACTACATTTTTAGAAGTAACTATATTTAATTTTTAATCATTTCCACACCACTCCACTCAAATGCATTCATATAAGACTATTTCTTCTTCATCTATTTTGTACTTACACAAGATATAACAATAAAAAGGGCACACAGGATAAAAAAGTAGGTGCAGGCAGAGGCAAAAAACCCAAAAGAGCTCCTATTAAAGGCCCCAGTTTATGAAAGCATAAAATTTAACCTTATCGTCCTGCATTACTTATATAAATTGCATTGTTCTACAGTTTAAAATATTGTTTGAAGGCCGCACTCACATTCCAGTCGATTGTATTAAAAAACTGATGTCTCTTGATTTCCTCCACACCATCCGGACCAGCTCCTAAAACACACGCAAATACAAACAGGTGTAATGTCTGCGCTCACCAGCAGAGGGCAACTTTAGTTCAGACATAAATACATTAAGTAACATTTATGCAAAGTTCGGACAATTTTTGGAATTACTGCCATATTGTTCTAGCGTTGTGTTGGTTGAAATGTTACTAAATAAACTCTTATAAGTAAAACATGTCTAAATAATTCTGAGGTTTACTATAAATGCAAATTAACACTAACAATAAGATTTAATGAGACTCTTATTCAAGTTTTTGTATTCATGTATTGCAACAAAATGTGAACTTGCTACACATACATTTCCTTAACAGTACATAAAACTTTTGAAAGCAGTACAATAGACATGTGAAACTCAGGCCCAGGTGCCAAATTTGGCCCACAATATAATTATATTTGGCCCGCAAGATCATATCAAATATGTATTGGAACTGGACCGCTGGCTGCCACGCCAGAATGGCTCATGCACTACTAATACTACTAATACCACTAATACTACTAATACCACTAATACTACTAATACTACTACTTTGATGAACTTATATTTAAGAAGAGATTGCTGAGTATTTGTATCTGCTTTGGACCCATGTAAAAAATGTTGTTATTATTTTATATTTTGCTTGTTCTGGATTCAATGTTTAAGCAAAACTATTATTAAACATTTATTTTAACATTACCTATCTTGAAAGAAGAGAAAACGTGCATATATAAATCCATGAATACATAAATATTTAGTTTGGCCCACGACTTAGTCCCAGTTTTTAATTTTGGCCCTCTGTGAATTTGAGTTTGACACCCCTGCAGTACAACAAAGTAAAATGTGCTTTCTTCTCATAAGACAACTTTGTACAATGCTAAATCGACACATTACCACCGAAACATGTCAAGTAAATAAACTATTTCACTTTTTACAAAGTTGTATTATTAGAAGAAAATGCAAAGTTTCTATATAACAAGAAAAAAAAGGGAAATGTATTCATTCTACTATATATCACAGGTTTTTTTTTTTTAAATGCACTTACAACATACATCAAAGTACCACTACCACCGAAACTACTACATTTGGGTCTTTTTCTTGTTTAGTACTACTACTACTACCACCGAAACTACTACATTTGGGTCTTTTTCTTGTCTACTACTACTACCACCGAAACTACTACATTTGGGTCTTTTTCTTGTCTACTACTACCACTACATTTGGGTCTTTTCTTGTCTACTACTACCACTACATTTGGGTCTTTTTCTTGTCTACTACTACCACTACATTTGGGTCTTTTTCTTGTCTACTACTACCACTACATTTGGGTCTTTTTCTTGTCTACTACTACATTTGGGTCTTTTTCTTGTCTACTATTACTACTACTACTACATTTGGGTCTTTTTCTTGTCTACTACTACTACTACATTTGGGTCTTTTTCTTGTCTACTACTACATTTGGGTCTTTTTCTTGTCTACTATTACTACTACTACTACATTTGGGTCTTTTTCTTGTCTACTACTACCACTACATTTGGGTCTTTTTCTTGTCTACTACTACATTTGGGTCTTTTTCTTGTCTACTACTACTACTACATTTGGGTCTTTTTCTTGTCTACTACTACTACTACATTTGGGTCTTTTTCTTGTCTACTACTACTACTACTACATTTGGGTCTTTTTCTTGTCTACTACTACCACTACATTTGGGTCTTTTTCTTGTCTACTACTACCACTACATTTGGGTCTTTTTCTTGTCTACTACTACTACTACTACTACTACATTTGGGTCTTTTTCTTGTCTACTACTACTACTACATTTGGGTCTTTTTCTTGTCTACTACTACTACTACTACTTCTTACTACTACTTACTACTACTACTTCTTACTACTTCTACTGCTACTACTACTTCTTACTACTACTGCTACTATTTCTTACTACTACTACTACTTACTTTCAAGAAAAGACTACTATAGCTCCTACAATTACAACAGAAAACTAAAACTACAACTACTACATGATTATTTTTACCGAGTCGATTGGCCGGGTTTCGCTTGAACAGGTTCCGTAGTAAACTCTGGGCCTCCGAGCTCAGAAACTGTGGCATTCCTAATTTGGCCCTGGGGAAAAAAAAGTTTGATTCATTTATTAATAAAACAGAAACACAACACCAGCTCTGATCAGACCGCAGGAAGCACATCAGCGATTTCTGAGACGGGCGAGAAACAGAGACCGTGACGACGCTCAGATTCCACATGCTGCTTTAAGATTATAAATGTCCCACTTTTAATGGACGTTTAGGGAATTACGTTACTTTATCTTTTAATTGAAATTAATTAAATGGGTAATGCTGGTGATTTGGAAGGCAATACCGACAAAAATCACACAAACAGGACAAAATTAGACCTTTTCTGAATAGTTTTAGAACTTTTTAGACTTTAGTGTGAGTTTTATTTTAACACAGTCTCACTAGAAAGAGCTGATTTGGTTGGAACTAAAACAGGTGATTTATTTTGTGGTGTTAAACGTGTCTCTTTCATGTAAAATTACAGGCAAACTCCTAAACACACACTGCAAATTTCTCCGATCTGGCCAAGATTTTAAAGCTTATATCAGGTCATTCATCTTGTTTTCAGGTTTATTATCTACTTACTACTTCTGAGACTGCTTCATTCTAGTCTAGAGGTAGTTTATTTTAAAATAACTTGTCAAGTAAAATGATCTTGCTGCATGGACAGATAGACTGAAAGATTTCACTCATTTTCTGAAAGATTTAAGTGTTTATGTCTTAAATTTTAGCCAAGCTTTTTTGCAGTGTCGGCTCAAGAACGCTCGTATCGATCACAGGCTCCTGAAAATGTGCTGTTTAATTCCATTTTGCATTTTTTCTTAACTTTTCAGACAATTTTAAAGCTTTTTTGTCTGTGTGTGTGTGTTTGTTGTGTCACCATGGTAACTAATGAAAATTCCACCAATTGAGCTATACAGGGAGTCCCAAATAATTTGACATCATTTCGCAGGTCAATAATTCTGGCAATTCTTGTTGAAATAACCTAAAATTTTCACAGAATGTACAGAAACTAGGGATGTAACTATATCCAAATCTCACGGTACAATATTATCACAATATGCATCTCACGGTACGATATTTATTGCGATATTTTGAAGAGGCGTATATAATTGTAGATAGGATGCTTTTGTTGCTTTTAAAATACCTTGACAAGATTTTGGTGTGAATTATTTCCATCATAATCCCAAAAATTCAAGTAAAAAACATATTTCTCCATGTTGTCTGTGCTGAAATGAATCATGGGATATGAAGTTCCCGATGTTTATAAACTGCTGCTACTATAAAACCATGGATTTAAGCAAAGAAACTTGTAATTCGATATATTGTGATGGTCCATGATATTATTGTGAGACTTTTGACGATACGATATCACGATATTTCGATTATTGTTGCATCCCTAATAGAAACAGATCAAGATTTGGAGCAATGCTGTTCACTCCCAAAGAGAAGTCATTTTGCGTCTTGGAATCTGCTCGTACACAGTCACCCAGGACTGTGCAGCGTGTCTTCAGTGCAACATTTGGAAAAACTTCATCAACTGGCAAACAAAGTCCCATAATAAACTCATGATGTTCCAACGCCTAAACTGTTTCACTAAGCTAGACTTTTAAAATGACATTTGTAGAACAGAGGGATGGGACAAGACACAATTTCCACAAGACGAGATACAAGATTGGGTCCACAAGAATGAGAAAAAATGAGATTTTAACAGTTCCTAGCATATGAATTTCACGCTACAATTTCCAACTTTGGCCTCACTTTTTAAAATTTATTTGATTCAGTATTTTTGTTTCTGCTCTAGTGCTGCTTTTTGGAACTGTAAGAGATGAAACTCACCAACACGTAACACTTTTTTGTCCAATCCAAATGTAGAAAAAATATCATGAGATCTGGTACCATCCCTCAGTGTTTTACATTTAAGATTTTAATATTTCAAATGGAAAATTATTCAGAAACCAAATTTATTAGAGCAATAATACAAGGAAGTAAGTATAGTTGGGTTAAGGTGCTCTCAAATATCCCTCCTTCTCATCTATGCAATTTTCTTGTACTTTTATGCACTCTTCCTGAATCCAATTATAACTCATATAAACTATAAACTCCTGATATAACTCCCTGTTGATGCTCTGACCCTGAGATGTTGTGAATAGCTGTGGTTTTGCTGCTGCCTCTGCATTTTTGAGCATCTGAGTGTCTCCAGTTTCTTACTTCAGGATCATGGTCATCGTCTCTTTCCGGTCCTTCCCCTGAAACGGCAGAGTTCCCGTCAACATCTCGAACTGTGGAGACAAGACTGTGGTCAGAGACGGATGCGGTGTCCTCGTAAAAAAAAAAAATCACAATTTGCAAGCAAGAGAATAAAATATCAAACGTATGTATTATTTATTTTTCTTTACTACATAATTCCACATGTCTTGCTTCATATATTTGATGATTTCCATGTACAGAAAATGTAGAAAGTAGTAAATGTAAAGAAAAAAAAACACCAAATGAGAGTGTGCGTCCAAACATTTGATTAGTAGTGAATATTTGAAGTTGTTTATTATTAACTTATCAAATTTTTACTGGTCATTTATATGTACGCAAAGACTATATCAATATTGCCAAACATGCCACATTCGTCCAATTAAAATAAATTATTCCCTATTAATTCTGCTCTACACAATTAATCAAAAATGAGTTAATGTCATTTTGTTTGTATTTGAGACCTCCTTTATCATGTGAATAAATATCGTGAAAAATACTGAGCTCAAAATTGACCTTCTGACCCTTATTTGTCAGTTCCTGTTCTCTGCCTTTGTATCGTGAGTCAAAAATTAAGATTTGTGCAAAGACAAAACAAAGAAACTGTGCGTGTTTGTGTTTGTGATTTAGGTTATGAATTGATTTTATTTTAAAATCCAAACCTCTCACCTTGTTCTTTTTGTTGCGGTCTTGGCACAGGGTCTTAACACATTAAATAAATAAACCTTTGTATTCAATTACACTTAAATTATCTTTAATGTAAAAGTATTTGGTGTATTTATTCATACTGTACACACTATACTGCAAAGTCACTTGTCTGTCAAACTGTTTAACTGTGTAAGGGCCTGTTCACACGAGAAAACTTGGGGGTAAAAATGACAAAATATTTTATAGGAAGTGTCTTTCGTTTAGACGGTGACGACGTTTTTGGGGCTTAAAAACGCAAAAATCTGAAACCACAGTCCAGAGTGGAAAAAAACGTTGCCTACACTGCCCAAACAAAACTCTAATCACGCCACGTACACGTTTACATCACATACATCACCACTAGGGATGGGCATTCGATGAAATTTTCTTAATCGATCGTCGGAAGAATTAACAATCGATTATCAATTAATCATTAACGTTTTTATATTAAAATGATCATCATTATTATTACTATCTGCACTACTAATCTGCATAAATAAATTCAACTTTACGACATATAAACCGTAACGACTCCAGAGCCACATCAGCCAGTTTGACATTATAATGTGTTTAATTCAGTTTTGCGCAACTCTCACAGAAACAAAACTTAAAACCGCATCACTAATTTGCATAAACTCAGCGAAGGTAAAAATACAGCTCTTGTGCGCTGATGCGGTCAATTTCTGTCGGGTTAAAGGACACGACTCAGTGGAATACAGGTTAGTGTGACCAGATTTGTGTTTGTCAAACCCAGGAAACTGTACGGGGGGAGGGAGGTGGGGACTCGTCATCGACATTGTGCGACTCTCACCTGGCAAAACATTTTCCCACTGGACACCGAAACATATATGCTGCTTTATACACTGTGCACATGAACTCACACTTGTCCCGAATGCAATGGAAAGCCTGGAATTTCTTGTACAAATCATCGTTAAATACACATTTGTGCTTCAACACGTTGCAGACTGACCGAATGTTTCTGTTTGTGTCTCGCTCCTTCTGAGTGCAGAGAGACATGTACAGACCCGTTTGGTCACACTACGCACAGCAACCTACATTCGGTTTGTCGATTAAAATTTACGTAATCGATGAAATTCTTAATGATCAATTATCGATTAATCGACTAATCATGCCCATCCCTAATCACCACCCAGCGTCGCCACCTCACCGCCTGGCATGGATACACAATCAAATTCCACACACTTTTGTTTCACCGTATGCACGCAGATTTCCTCCAGAAAACGCTCGTCCAAAGGCGGAAAAAAAAGTGAAGACGCGACACCACTTTTTGCGTCTTCTGTACAAAGCCTGAGTGTTGCTGCACGATCCTGACAAGCACTAAACAGGAAATCCAAAAGTCTTCTACGTCATTTCAAACAAACCCCATGATGACTCAACCTCACTGAAGTTAAGGCTGTGCATTTGAGACAGACTCTTCTTTGACGCTGTTTAAATCCAGGCTCAAAACATTTCTGTTTGACTGTGCATATAACTGAAAGGTTTTCATTCCACACTCTTCTCTCCAATTTATGTCTCTCTTTTTTTATTTTAATCTTTATGATTATTTATGTTTTGATTTGTTTTTATTGTGGTTTTAATGTATTTCTTATTCTGTAAAGCACTTTGAATTACTTTGTGTACGAATTGTGCTATAAAAATAAACTTGCCTTGCCTAATCGAATTTTGATCGCAATTTTGATTTGTGTGTCGACGATCTTCAAACTCATATAATCGAGTTGAAACGATTTAAAGCTTAACAGTTAACAAGTTTATTTTGGGATATTTTTTATATAAATAAGTAAATATTAAGTAAATAATAATTAAATCAATCAATCAATAATAATTAAATATAGAGATTGTAGAACAGCTGGATATATAGTTTATTTTGGATACATTTATGTTTTTCTATGCCTTATTTCATGTTCAAAGTTTATTTTATTCATTTTGTGTTTTATACATCGAAAAACTGCTCTAAGGTTCATATTTGTAGCCTATATTTATTTTCAATTTGAAAGTTTTGTGTAAATTATCAATAACAAAGAGAAATGCTGAATAAAAGCATTGTGTAATTAAAAAATAATCGTTGAATAATCGTGATTTCAAAATTTACAAAAATAATCGTGATAATGATTTTTTTACATAATGGAGGAGCTCTTGGTGAGGTGTTCTTATAATGGATAGAAGTCTGGGGAAAAAAATCAAACAAATAATGATCATGTCTGTTACTTTTGGCTCGTGATACAAAGGCAAAGTACAGGAACTGCCAAATAAGGGTCAAAAATCTATTTTAATCTCAATATTTTTCGCATACAAATACTTCTTCATTACAGAGACTAGTTGTCAAATTTTGGGAGCTCTACCTATTATACTTTTGTCTGGACAAAACAGAAAATTTGAAGTCATTTTTCCCAGTTTCAGGGGCAGAACTGAGAATATTTGTAACTTGTGATTGTTTATAAATGTTTATCTTGTCTTGTACCCAAACCTACTCACCATCAGTACCCCGTATGACCACCAGTCGGCGCTGTGGGTGTGTCCCCTCCTGTTCACCACCTCAGGAGCCATGTACTCCACCGTTCCGCAGAAGGAGTAGGCCTTGTTCTCATGATCAATCGACTCTTTACTCAAACCGAAGTCTGGACACGGACAATGTGAAGGATTAAAAACGGAAAACACAGTCAGTTAGTTAAATTTCTAATGCGGCTTAGAGGTTTTTGAAATAAAATTAAACCATTTGAAGCTAAAATTGAGGCGTGTGTATATTATTTTTGCTTCGTTTTGATTTAATAACAGTGCTGTCTTCATAATAAAATCAGTTTTCATTGCCGTTTTGATAAAATAAACATTGATTATCGTGTTGTTACTCACCTGTCAGCTTTATGTGGCCCTCCTCATCAAGTAAAATACTGAGAAAAACAAAAACAAACACAATTTACATAAGAAACTGTCAAGGTTCAGCTGTAAAATGATAAAAATGTCTCGTTTCCTTTCCAAAATTTCACACATTTCATTTTAAGTATTCATTATTCATAACAGTTTTGTCTGGTTCTGGTTTGAGCTCAGTTTAGTCCTGATGGTAGACTTGGACTGGTCCTGTTTTAGTCCTGGTTTAGTCTTGGTTTAGTCCTTTTGTAGCCTTGAAATTGGTCCAGGTCTAGTCCTGTTTTAGTTTGTGTTGAGTCCTGTTTTAGACGTTTTGTAGCCTTGGTTTGGTCCTATTTTAGTCCTGGTTTAGTCCTTTTGTAGTCTTGGATTGGTCCTGTTTTAGTCTTGGTTTAGTCCTTTTGTAGTTTTTTGTTTGTTCCTGTTCTAGTCCTGGTTTAGTCCCGGTTTAGTCCTTTTGTAATCTTGATTTGGTCCTGTTTTAATCCATTTGTAGCCTTGGGTTAATCCTGTTTTAGTCCTGGTTTAGTCCTTGTATTGGTCCTATTTTAGACCTTTTGCAGCCTTGGCATGGTCCTGTTTTAGTCCTTAAATGTAGCCTTGGACTGGTCCTGTTTTAGTCCTGTTTTAGTCCTGTTATAGTCCTGGTATAGTCCTGGTATAGTCCTGGTATAGTCCTGGTTAGTCCTGTTTAGTCCTGGTATAGTCCTGGTTTAGTCTTGGTTTAGTCTTGGTTTAGTCTTGTTTTAGTCCTTGGATTGGTCTTGTTTTAGTCCTGGTTTAGTCCTTTTGTAGTCTTGGATTGGTCCTGTTTCATTCAAGACATTAGAGATACAAAACAGAGGAAATTATAGTGCTAAATTATACTTTAGTGCACTATGTTGCAGTAACTTTAGCACAAATTCAGACTTAAATGAACCCAGTTGTGTGATTTTGAGTTTTACTTTTCGGGTTTGAGGTCTCTGTAGATGATGCCGAGTCCGTGGAGGTGATCCAGAGCCAGAGCCAGTTCAGCCAAATAAAACTTCACATCCTCCTCCGTGAACATCACCTGGAAACGCACAGGAAAAAATAAATAAATACAGGCACAGAACTCAACCCGTCCACTTACCAAGAGGAGTAAAATACGGTTAGTGAAATTATCAGTTAGTACATAGCTGAGAGCAAACTTTCAATCTGTTTATACTTTTTTTTTCTCTTTTTTTGGGCAATATACGGGAAAAATGATTGGAAAAAATGTGTGGGTGGTCACTGTTGGTCCACTGTTTGTAATTTATTAACTTTTGCAACTTAAAATATTCTACATGTTTGAACTTGTGTGTAAAAATATTAACTCTTAAAAAACTCTTGTTGTCACAAACGATGCCAGCAGAGGGCGCAAGGATTACATCACTATTTAAAGGTGAGCTGTGTAACTTTTCAGGTGTGTCTGAGAGTTCTTCACCTCCTTTTCTACATGGAATTGTTGCCTGGAATGTTTCACAGTACAGTATTACACTTGTAGTCCTTTTGTAGACTTAGATCGGTCCTGTTTTAGTACTGTTTTAGTCCTTTTGTAGCTTTGGCTTGGTCCTGTTTTAGTCTTAGTTTAGTCCTTTGTAGCCTTGGATCAGTCCTGTTTTAGTCCTGGTTAAATTCAGTTTTAGTACTTTTGTAGCCTTGGATTAGTCCTGTTTTAGTTCTGTTTTAGTCCTTTTGTAACCTTGGATTGGTCCTGTTTTAATCGGGTTTTAGTCCTGGTTTAGTCCTGGTTTAGTCCTGGTTTAGTCCTGGTTTAGTCCTGGTTTAGTCCTGGTTTAGTCCTGGTTTAGTCCTGGTTTAGTCCTGTTGCAGTCCTGGTTTTGTCCTGGTTTAGGCCTGTTTAGTCCTGTTGTATTCCTGGTTTAGTCCTGTTGTAGTCCTGGTTTTGTCCTGGTTTAGTCCTGTTGTATTCCTGGTTTAGGCCTGTTGTATTCCTGGTGTATTCCTGGTTTAGTCCTGATTTAGTCCTGGTTTAGTCCTGTTGTAGTCCTGGTTTAGTCCTGTTGTATTCCTGGTTTAGTCCTGGTTTAGGCCTGTTTTAGTCCTGGTTTAAGTCCTGTTTTAGTCCTGGTTTAGTACTGGTTTAGTCCTTTTGTAGCCTTGGATTGGTCCTGTTCCGTATTCATCTCTAAGGAAACAGCACATATGACACCACAAGGCCAAGTTATATGTCAAATCTGTGGAGAGGCGAGCCTACAACAGTAAGAATACTTTTTTTTGGGGCTTTTCTTACACCAATAAAAACTCATGTTAGTGAATAAAGGAAGCTGGATATGTTTAACACCATACCAGGACATTTCAGACAAAACTATAACCTCTCCATGAAGACAAGCAGGTGCGGACCTTCCACCAGAAAAGTTACACAGTGCAACTTTAATTGAAAAGCTAAAAACATGAGACATTACCATAAAAGACTAAATGTGGACTTCAAAAACACTGAGGAGCTTAAACTTATTAATATTACACAAACATACAATAATAAAACAGGCCCAATACGAGCACAGTTTTGACATAAAAAAAAAAAAAAAAAAGTGTAAATAATGTTGTTTATTCACCTCTTTGGAGAGTCGTGTGAAGAGATCTCCTCCTCTGAGAAAGTCCAGGATCAGGTAGAGCTTCCCCTCCGTCTGAAACGCTGTGGAAAATTCAAATTTGTTGAAACCTCCGTCCGACCAATCAGATCTCTTTGTTCAGATTTCGAGCTCCGTGATTGGTCGACTCACCGTAATGCAGCTTTACTATGAACGGATGATTAACCTCCACCAAAATGTCTCGCTCCATCTTCGTCCGAACTCGATCCCGAACTGGAAAAAACACACAAAGCAAGACAAAAGTTTCTGATTAATGAACACGCTTCTTATCTTAAACAAATGACACAGATGGGTAGTCAGAAGTATCGAAAATCAAATACGAATCGATACTAAAACTGGTATCAAATCTAGATATTTGAGCAAATATCGATACTAAAAAAGTCAACACCTACTAGTAAACAGATTTCTTGGCAGTCCTGGTTTTGTTCTACAAGGTTCAGCCCTAGTTTAGACCGGGAATAGTCCTCTTAAAGTCCTGGTCTAGATCTGGTGGTACTCGGAAAACCAAATATTGTTCTTGGCGTAATAAATTTGAGAATCATTGTTTTAGGTTGAGGCGTGTAACAAGAAGGAAAAAAAGGGAAAATTCAGAATCACAATTTACCTAACACAGTAATCCCCCTGCATTTTTTTTTGTGTTTAATTTGAGATATTTATTTACAAACATTGCGCACGTCGGTCTAAATCGGGAGGGAGCGAGTCTTCAGTTTGCCTTGGTCTCATGTTGAGGCGTGAATCTCCACTTTGGGCGATGACGAAGAAACCAAAACAAGGAGGCAAAAACAAGCTCCCCACACGCTCCGGGACCATTCACTTAGAGCCAGGATATAAAAGGAAACAGGCCATTTAACTGTGAGGTGAATACAGAAAGAGAGGGGCTTGGATTGGGAATATTGGCGTTTTCAGATGTAAGAGATTTTTTCCTATTCATTACATTATATTTTGTCATGAAATTGTCAAAAGGTAAATTCACAAATGTTGAATCTGATCATTTCTATTAATGAATGGAATCAAGAACTGACTTAATTGCAAAATAAATCTGCATTTTAACAATATTAACTTTACCAGCCCCCATCTGTATTAAATATAACTGAAAAATACAATGTCATTTTGTAATTTCCAATAATAGACAATAGTACTTTCTTTTATTGGGCGTCAACGCTCTAAATGTGTGTCTAGGGTGTCGGCGTCAGAAGTTGAACATGCTGAACTTTTCGTGTCAGACGCGCCCGTCAACCAGTTCGAGTGCCCAGTGACGTAGTGATGTTATTATCCGGAAGAAAGAGAAAGACCCGAGAACCAGAGCGGTATGAATATATATGCCGCAATCACCGAGCCAAACGCCAGGACTACACTAGGACCGGACCAAGACTAAACCAGGACTGGACCAGGACTAGACTAGGATAAAACCAGGACTAAAGAAGGACTAAACCAGTGTCAGTGTGTCATTATTACAGTATAAAGACATACACGCTGCAGTCGCCGAGCCAATCACCAGGACTGGACCAGGACTGGACCAGGACTGGACCAGGACTGGACCAGGACTGGACCCAGGACTAGACCAGGACCAGGACTGGACCAGACTGACAGGACTAGGACTCCAGGACTGGACCAGGACTGGACCAGGACTGGACCAGGACTGGACCAGGACTGGACCAGGACTAGACCAGGACTAGACCAGGACTAAACCAGGACTGGACCAGGACTAGACTAGGAGTAAACCAGAACTAAAGCAGGACTAAACCAGTGTCAGCTTGTCAATAACACAGTATAAATATATACACGCCACAGTCGCCAAGCCGATCACCAGGACTGGACCGGGACTGGACCAGGACTGGACCGGGACTGGACCGGGACTAGACCGGGACTAGACCGGGACTAGACCGGGACTAGACCGGGACTGGACCGGGACTGGACCGGGACTGGACCGGGACTGGACCGGGACTGATCCAGTGTCATTAGTGAAGTATACATATATATCAGGGTATCCCCAGATCTGACTACCCCAAATTTAAGACTTTTTAAAAACTTTTTTTCAAACCACTTAAATGAAAATTAAAACAACAACAACAACAACAAAAACACACAAGATCCTAAGAGCCACTGTGGATTAAACCAACACTTCCCCCTGATCCATCCAACATCTTCCTCCACTCTACTGATTTTGTTTACTCATTGCCGTCGGCGCCACAAACCAAAGAATTGTTTGAGCATACTCCAAGTTAGACGTTTATTCACGTTATATGATTTCACATTGTTTTTTTTCCACTCCCTCCCTTTAACTTTGCACTGCAGCCCGGTTGAGTTTACAGAAAAATAGGCTAATGAAATTTAAGACCTTTGTGAAAAAAATAAGACTTGGACAACATAATTTAAGACTTTTAAGGACTTAATTTAGGAACATGAAATTTAAGACCTTTTTAAGACTTTTAAGACCCCACGGCTGCCCTGTTTTTTTACACCGCAGTCGTCGACCCGATCTCCTCCACTGATGGTTTTATGTAATATTAAAAAAACACTAAAGTATCTTTCAGTCTGGTCTGCCATCGTTCTGGGAAAAGACCGGGACCGGGCACTTGTTTCCAGGGTAACAGATGCCGTCGAGTATTTTTCTCCCGTTCACCCATGGCGTCCAAGATGCGCTTTGGTGGCATCTGAATTCCAATACAAAGGCGTCCAAACAGAGGCGTCTGGGGTGTTTTTTGACACCGCGGTCTGAACACATCATTATACTGGCTCTGATAAAGTTTGTCCAGTTTATGTGGATTTTTTATTATCAAAACTTGTTCAAAAAGTTGTTGACTAGTTCTGATACTAGTTTTAATTTAGAATACCACCTGATTTTTTTATACTTTTGACCTCCTCACCACCAGCAGAGTATAATCGTGTATGAAAGTGTTATACTGGATTAACACATTATAAACAAACCTTTTAACGTGGCCTTCTTGAGGACTTTCATGGCGTAGAGCTGCCCGGCGTCTGGTCCAGTCACTTTCTTCACTAGAAACACCTGAGAGAAAACATAATAATGAGGTCATTTAGTCAGTTATTGTAATCTGTCAGTCATTTTATATCCATTTCATTATAATATTTTTAGTTTAGTGAGATGAAAAATGTTCCCTCTGTTCTCCATTTGAATATAGAGAGCCATATTAAACTTAAACTACAGTAGCCTCAGAGGTTCAAAAGGCCAGTCCTTGGAAAATGCATTTGGACTGAACAAATTCAGTGAGAGAAACACACCACACAGAACTTACTGACTGGAGTTTTAAAGATGAACTGCATAAATCTGTGTCTCATTCGTTCATTCGTGTTTCAAAATAAAAGCAAAAATAAGAAAACGAAAAGACAACTATTTTCTTCATTATTTGTCTCCAAAACCAAAATGAGTTCAGTTTTTGATTTTGTGTTTAAATGAATAATGGAAAAAACAGATAATGACCGTTTCCTGTTTCCATAATTTAAATTCCGATGCCGGACTAAAACAAGACTAAACCAGGAGTAAACAGTTTTCAGTCCCGGTCTGGTCTGGTCCTGGTCTCAGTCCCGGTCTCAGTCCCAGTCTCAGTCAGTCTCAGTCCCAGTCAGGTCTCAGTCCAGTCTCAGTCCCAGTCTCAGTCCCAGTCTCAGTCCCAGTCTCAGTCCCAGTCTCAGTCCCAGTCCCAGTCTCAGTCCCAGGTCTCAGTCCCGGTCTCAGTCCCGGTCTGGTTCCGGTTTCAATCATGGTCTGGTCCTGGTCCTGGTCTCAGTCCCATTCTGATCCTGGTCTCAGTCCCGGTCTCAGTCCTGGTCCTGTTCCCGGTCTGAGTCCCGGTCTGAGCCCCGGTCTCAATCACGGTCTGGTCCCGGTCTCAGTTCAGGTCTCAGTCCCATTCTGGTCCTGGTCCTGTTCCCGGTCTGAGTCCCGGTCTGAGTCCCGGTCTGAGTCCCGGTCTAGTCCCGGTCTAGTCCCGGTCTAGTCCCGGTCTCAGTCCCATTCTGGTCCTGGTCCCAGTCCTGGTCCTGTTCCCGGACTCAGTTCTGGTCTGGTCCCGGTCTCAGTCCCGGTCTCAGTCCCGGCCTCAGTCCCGGCCTCAGTCCCGGCCTCAGTCCCGGCCTCAGTCCCGGCCTCAGTCCCGGCCTCAGTCCCCGGACCTGGGTCAGTCCTGGTTCAGTCCGGCATTGCAGTTGCTGTTTTTTTCATTTTAGTTTTGGAGACAAATAATGAAGTAAACTGTTGTTTTTTCGTTTTCTTATTTTTGGTTTTACTTTGAAAAACAAATGAACGAATGATACACGGATTTCTTTCAAAGCCATAGTGTGGAACATTACAGGCAAAGCGATATCTCCATAGAGAAAAGAGACAATCAGGTGGCATACTCTCCAGAAAAGTTACACAGTGCGGCTTTAAATCGGCCTCAAAGCTCAGTGATGGGAAAACTCCTTCACGTGTACAGGCAGACTGTATATCGCCCTGGCTGCTCCACTCACGTTAATAGAAAAATATCACGTTGGCAGCACTTGCGGATGAAGAGGCTGCATTGATTTTCTGGGTCGCTGTTGTAGTGATTTGCATAAACACACACGTAGCCGTAAAGCTAATTGCTCATTCATAAGACGATCTCCATGGCAGCGGCTCCGGGGGAAAAGTGAAATCAAAGCCTCGCTCACACTTCAGCGATATGGAGTCTGTACGGTGGATTTTAGACCAGTTTTGATCATGCACAAGGTAAACAAAACACAAGATTTGCATATTTTCTGAAGAGGCTGAGAGAAAGAGAGTATAATTGATTGGGTTAATGGGTCATAGTAACATTTAGAATCAACATAGTAAAATAAAAGCGGTTTAAAAAGTCTGATATTACACAAAACTGACTCTTGTGAGCTTTAAGTCTTGTCATAATGTTGTTTAAGTAATCCTGGTTTATTATTTTGTCTGCATCTCCAAAGCTCAAAATGCTCTGCTCCACCTTGTGACATCATGAAGTGTTTATTATATTTTTCAAGTTAACAGCTCCTTTTACCTTTAGTTCAGTAGAGATGGGCAATTCCAGGTTCCAGTCGGTTTTGCATTATGCGTTTATGCCAGGAGTTCTTAAACTTTTTGATGCTGACGCCTGATTTTTCCAGTGCAGAGTGGCCCGGGGCCCATTAAATATGAACAGTGTATTGCAGGGGTATTCAACTAAAATTTGAGGAGGTCCGGACTTCTGATTGTTATGACTGTGATACAGAAGTAGCCTAGTTTTATCAATGTCTGAATGTATGAACAATACAACAATAAATAAAATCAAGGGAAATACAAGTTAAAAACATTCACTTCACCAGAAAAGTTACACAATGCACCTTTAAAAAGAGAAACCTATCCTTGTTAAAGCTGCAATGTGTAACTTTTCTGGCGGAGAATCAAATCAAATGCTTTTCTTCATAGAGATGTTATGGTTTTGTCTGGAATGTTCCACAGTATGGCATTAAAACTTTCTATCTTCATGGTGACTAAACCAGACCAAGTCATGATTATGTAAAAACGTAAATGATTAATCGAAAATCAATTGTTAATTCTCCCAACAATCGATTAATAAAATTTCATCGAATGCCCATCTCTAATTGGGCCGAGTTTTGGCTGAATTGTGTGTCACGCTTCATGTAGTAAACATGGCATAACGAGAACCGATTAATACCTCAGCTCCCGATCGGCAATTGTATGTCGCAAGAAAATCAAACCTGTTTTAAATCCAGTTGCCTCTCACGAGGGTTTCGCTCTGTTGAAGTCGTTCGTATCGTGTGAGAACATCAACCGTGAGCTGTGAACTTTAAAACCCTGTGATTTGGTCGTACAGATTGAAACGACTGAAAATATCGCACAGTGTACACCCAGCTTTACAGGTCAAATCTGTGGAGAGGCGACCCCATCACAGTCACAGTGCCTGTTTTTTAGGTATTTTTGAGCAAACACCTGTCAATGAGTAAAAGTTAGGTAGGGCTGTTTACCAAAAAGTTACAAAGTGCACCTTTAACCTGTATATTTTTCCATCTCAAACTGCTTCTTCTTCCTCTTCTTCTTCTTGTTCTTCTCGGTGTAAAACTTCTGAGCACAAATGTGTCAGTGATGGCAGGTTTCCCATGTTTTAGGTTACGGCGTGATTAATCTGTTGCTATGTAAACACGTTAAAATCAGCAGATGATCCGGACTCACAAACAGGTGGTCGAATCATCATCACAACACAACGTACAGCAGCCGCTCGTCCTCTGTTCTTGGAAGACATGCAGTTCTTTCTATTTTTTATTTTATTTTTTTTTCTTGTACATATACACTTATATAATTATGCCTTATTTGACACCACTCTGGCACGCTCTTCTTCTTTTTACCGTTTATATTTTTACTCTTTGTTATTATAATATACTGTGATGTGTGAGCTACTGTGTCACATCACAATATATTTCCCTTGTGGATCAATAAAGTTTGTCTTAGTTTAGGTCTAATTACCCCAGAGATAAAATATGAATGTGAGTAATTATGGAGTATAAAAAAGGTACTTTAAAACAGAGGACCTCAGCACCCAGGCCTGGGACCGGTACTGGACCATGGGTCGTTTGGTACCGGTCCTCGAAAGCTCAAATCCCCCCCAGGTATAAACCAGGTCTAAACCAGGTCTAAACCAGGTCTAAACCAGGTCTAAACCAGGTCTAAACCAGGGTCTAAAACAGGGTCTAAAACAGGGTCTAAACTAGGACTAAACCAGGTGTAAACTAGGACTAAACAAGGTCTAAACAAGCTCTAAACCAGGTCTAAACCGGGACTAAAACAGGTCTAAAACAGGTCCAAAACCAGGACTAAAACAGGTCTAAAACAGGTCTAAAACCAGGACTAAACCAGGTGTAAACTAGGTCTAAAATAGGACTAAAATAGGTCTAAAACAGGTCTAAAACCAGGACTAAACTAGGTCTAAACCAGGACTAAAATAGGTCTAAAACAGGGTCTAAAACAGGTCTAAACTAGGACTAAACCAGGACTAAACTAGGTCTAAACCAGAACTAAAATAGGTCTAAAACAGGGTCTAAAACAGGTCTAAACTAGGACTAAACCAGGAGTGAACTAGGATTAAACAAAGTCTAAACAAGCTCTAAAACAGGTCTAAAACAGGACTAAAACAGGTCTAAAACAGGTCCAAAACCAGGACTAAAACAGGTCTAAAACAGGTCTAAAACCAAGACTAATCCAGGTCTAAACTAGGTCTACACCAGGACTAAAATAGGTCTAAAACAGGGTCTAAAATTGGTCTAAACTAGGACTAAACAAGGTCTAAACAAGCTCTAAATCAGGTCTTAAACAGGTCCAAAACCAGGACTAAAACAGGTCTAAAACCAGGAATAAACCAGGTTTAAACCAGATCTAAACCAGGTCTAAACCAGGTCTAAAACAGGATTTAGCCATCCTCTGTTAACACATGACATCACAAGGTGGAACAGAGCGATTTTAAACTTAGGAGAAAAACTCAGCCTAAATCTATATGCAGGTTTTGTGTGTTAAACATGTGTGAATGAAACAAAACACAACTGCAGGTCTGTTTGTGATGAGGAAACGGGTAATTAATTCCTTCCTCACAAAAATCTTGGGAAAATATGGTACTCAAATTCTTTTAAGCAGTATGACTATAATTTTACAGTTTTTATACGATGGCCTGGCGACTACTTTGCCTTCCTCTAAACCTTGGTCTGAAAAAAAAAGACTTGATTAAAATAAATTATCCGAAGACCAGAGAACTTCATGGGTCTGTTCCTGTTTGTATTTACAAGTCTTAACTCGGAAAATCCAACTTCGAGGACGACTGGAACGCGGCGTAGTAATAACTCTGAAAACTGCCACTATCGGAACAAAATGACCATCACTCGTCTGTTTCTAAGAGTTCGCGAGGCCATATTGATTGTGCATTTTATTTGATTACATAAATTTCACACTCTCATGGAAATCGAAGAGTGTCCAACTGTTCTCGGAGCACTTTGAGTTTCGCACTGAATATATTATTACCAAATGTTTGATGCCGCTTGTCCCGCTGTCAGATTTTGACTTGTCATGACTCAAGTACACTTTCTGGATTGCGTTTTAAATTGTGTTCACTGATCATTTTATACACTGTGCTTTTGTATCTTTGCATCTGCCCAGATATTACAAATGAAAATGACAATATTCAAGTAAAATGATTAAAGGGCCTGTACTACACTATTTTCAAATCTATGTTTTAATCTAGTTTCATCACCACAAACAGACCTGGAGTTGTGTTTTGTTTAATTCACACTTGTTTAATTCACAAACCTTGAGAATTTAGGCTGAGTTCTTCTCTCAAACCAAAGAGAAAGCACTCTGTTCCATCTTGTGATGTCATGTGGTAATACAGGAAGTGCTCCATTGGGTTTTTAAACTCCACACACCTTCACTAGATTCACATTTGAATCATTTCAGCCCTGGAATCGCCAATCTCTACGGAACAAAAGGTAAAAGGAGCCGTTAACTTGAAAACTACAGCTTCATGACATCACAAGGTGGCCTGATTCTGATAGACCTCACAGCATTAAGGCCAATTTACGGTCCAGTGTTAAAAATCGTCTGCGTCATGAGCCTCTGCATCGACCGACGTACACCTCCGAAATTTTCTAACTACGCATCGAAACGCGGTAGACAGCAGTGGAAGCGACGCAGACAATAAGGGCTGTGATTGGGACTCCCTACCACCGCTCTACATACATTTCCTGTACTAGGCTTTCCTTAAAACCGAATGGCTAACCTGCATAAACAAAGTGCTCAAAAAACAGCTCCCTCCTGGTATGCGGTCAGCTTCTCTCGGACTTAAAACAGGACACGACTCAGTGGAATATGCGTGTTCTTTCTGTGACAGAGGGATATTGTACTAATGGTGAGTCTGTTTTGTGCTTTTATTGAGTTGGAGATGGTTCACGTTAGACTTTTCAGAGATTATACGTCTGCAGACACATAGATCGTATATATGAATGGACAGATATCTTCGCCCCCTAGCGCTTTGGCAGTGAATTACTTTGCGGGGCATAGACCTCTACGCAGAGCCATAAATCAAAAACGACAGCGACAAGGCGACGGTGGCAGTGCGCGTTGAGTCGACGCAGAACTATGCTTCACCCATTAGGATTCGTTCGCTCGACAGTAGACGGGTACTTTTTTATGTAACCATCGCTGCTATTTGGTATGTAAAGCACCAAATCCTGTATGAAGAAGGTCAATAACGTCTTTCCTTTCAATAAAATTCACAAAACATTCTCTTTATTCCGTCTTTAAATCCTCGATCTCGGGAATCAACACAGAATGTTTGTCTTCGTCTACATCCATCTCGACGCTTTGTTTACTGTTGTGCTGTTCCACAAAAGGGACCCAGACAGACGCTTGAGTTTGACGTCACTGCTTCACGACTCTTCGCTGATTGGCCGGTGCTCGGTCTACAACTTCCGTATTTTTTTTCGAACTGTCTTATGTATTCCAATTCCTGACCTAGTCGCTGGAGAGAAATTAAATTGAGCGGAGGCACTAGGTGGCGCCAATCACAAGGTGGAACAAAATAAAAACAAAAACAAAACTGTACTCTTTTTCTGCACACAGTTTTGACTTAATAAATTGACATGATAAATAAATAAATAGTTTTTTAAAAGTGAATTGTGTAACTTTTGTGGTGGAGGGTCAGTCAAGTGCTTTTCTCCATGGAGATGTTATTGCTTTGTCTGGCATTAAACTTTTCTATCTTCATGGAGACCAAACCAGATAAACAGGTCAGATCTGTGAAAAGGCAACCCTGCTCACAGTCACAATGTCTGTTTTTCAATGTATTTTTGAGCTATAAAACCACTTGTAATTGAATAAATGTAAGGTAGAAACAAGCAGGTGACGGACCCTCCACCAGAAAAGTTACACAATGCACCTTTTAAAAGCTAATTAAATTTTTCAGTTCAAAAAAATATTTATATTTTAAGTAGTAGATGTATATGTAATTGAATAAATGTAAGATAGAGCTGTTTAATGTCACACTGTGGAACATTCCAAGCAGAGCAATGACGTCTCCATAGAACCAAGCAGGTGACGGACCCCCAACTAAAAAGTTAAAAAAGGAAATAAACCTCACCTTTCCAAACGAGCCTTGTCCCAGGACCTTTCTGAGCTCAAACTGCCTGGGGTCGGCCTTCTCGCAGCCCTCCTTCACGTGGTGAGTGATGCTGATCTCTTTGATGGGAACATCGTCCTGAAATCACAAATAAACAACAAGTTTTTCAGCAGTTTTTCACGCTTTCTGACAGGAACGATACAAACGATGACGCCATAGTGATTCACGGCGTTTTCACTCAGCAGCAGAGTGACAGCGAAAATTGATTTGACTTTATAACACTACATTTGTAACCCAAAACAACCAAAACGGCAAGAAATTATCCAGCCATTCATTCAACATTTATCACATCTTTAGACTTAAGAATTTCACAAAAACGATTAAGTAATAACTAGGAAAAATTATAGATTAAAAAACCAGGACTAAACCAAGACTACACCAAAAAAACTGGTCTTAAAAGTGCACAATGGAACTTTTTTGGTACAAGTCCAGCACCTGGTTGTGTTCATCAAGCTATAGAGAGATTGCTTTCCCTAGAATGTACCACAGTATGGCATTAAACTTGCTTGTTATTTAATTATTGGTGTTTTTTTGTTTTTTTTTGGTGATAAAACAATATCTTGAAAAACATGCACCTCTATACAAATCTGATCTGTAAATTGTCTCGGTGCTTGTCTTCGTGGAAATAGAAAAGTTTACTATTATTCTGTGAAAAACTCCAGGCAAAGCAACAACATCTCCATGGTGACTGACCTACCACCCAGAAAGTTACACAGTGCACCTTTAAACTTAAATATTACACTTCGGGATAGTAAAATACCACTAAGGACTAAGATTTAACACCAGTACAAGACAAATTATATTGAAAATTGTATTAAAATGATCTATATTAACAAAATAATACATGTTCAATTCACTTTCACCATCATTCACACATATATAATACTTGAGAAGATGGAAAAGTGTCTTGCTCAAGGACACAGAAGCAGAATACAATTGCTGTTGGAGGGAATCGAACCACTGACTAATAGATACGTGAATGAACTGAGCGACTATTAAGTAAAGTAAGGATTAAAGGCACACTGTAACTTTTCTGGTGGGGATATGCTACCTGGTCGTTTCCATGGAGATGTTATTACTCTATGTAGTCAATTGCAGGCGTTTTTATAGCTCAAAATAGCGAAAATATAGTGGAGATATATATATATATAAATATAGCAAAAAACATGCATTCTTACTATGAGCACACAGCAAAAACTGGAGTGTTAAAACTGACTCTCACAGAATCAATTTTAATATTTTCTCAGGGTTTATATGAGTCCAATCTGTTCTAGAGTTAATTTAACATTTTTGGAAATGTGAATTAAGTAACACTGGACCAAAGTTCCTATTTAACCTTGAAATCAAGAGTTATATTAACATTTTGAGAGTAAACGGATAACACTTTCTAGGGTTATCCTGATTTAGCTGAACAACACACAGAGGTGTTTTATTTTTACACTTTGAGTTAATTTAGGATGAAATTATGAACAAAACTGGTTCTAACTGGACTTCTCTCGTGGGAGTTTGAAGTGGTGGGTGGGAGGAGCCAAATTAATACTAAGGAAAGTTGAATTAACACTAGAGGAACTCAAATTAATCCCAGAGGGAGTTGAATTAACACTAGTGGAAGTTGAATTAACACTAGTGGAAGTTGAATTAACACTAGTGGAAGCTGAATTAACACTAGAGGGAGTTGAATTAACACTAGAGGAAGTTGAATTAACACTAGTGGAAGTTGAATTAACACTAGTGGAAGTTGAATTAACACTAGAGGGAGTTGAATTAACACTAGAGGAAGTTGAATTAACACTAGGGGAAGATGAATTAACACTAGAGGAAGTTGAATTAACACTAGGGGAAGATGAATTAACACTAGAGGAAGTTGAATTAAGACTAGGGGAAGTTGAATTAACACTGGGGGAAGTTGAATTAACACTGGAGGAAGTTGAATTAACACTAGAGGGAGTTGAATTAACACTAGAGGGAGTTGAATTAACACTAGGGGAAAATGAATTAACACTAGAGGAAGTTGAATTTACTTCAGTCATATTAAATCTGGCAAATAACCCCAATAGGAACTTTCAAATAGTTAAAATAACACTTTTTTGCATTAAAAACAACTCTGAAATATTTTACCCTGAAATTTTAACCCTCCAGTTTTTGCTGTACGGGCTTGCCTCTCCACAGATCTGACCTGTAACTTGACCTGGTGATGTGAGCTGCTCGTCTCCATGGAGATATACTGTACACGTGTAATGCCATACTGTGGAGCACACCAATCCAATAACATCTCCATGGAGACGAGAAGGTGAGGATCCCTGCAGTTGAAAAGCGAAACATTGCACCTCAGATCTGGCTTCCCAAGTGCGTTGTGGGTAATGTAGTTCACTCCTGTTTATAGTCGATGGTCTCGTTAACGTGTCAGATGCCCCGGAGAGTCAGGCAGCGGGAGGTCTTGTATGATTAGTTTGAACACAAGATGGTTTTCATGGCACCACCCCCGGTACCTGCCCCCCACGGAGACGAACGAACGAAGCACACGGCCCCAAAGCAACTAAAGTATCTACACAGAAAACAGCAACAACGACAACAACGCTTCACCAAAACACAAATAAACCAATAAAACAAAAATAATAAAACGTAACGGTGCGATATTGTTGTGATATTCATTTCACGCTATGGTATTTATTTAGATATTGTGGAGATGCTAACAGAACTGAAGATAAACACGTTTTTTAATTTAAATTGCCTTGACTATGCAACAGATAATACTCCCTACACCTGTATGACAAGTCACCCTTATGTAACAGATAATACTCCCTACAACTGTACAACAACTTACTCGCATGCAACAGATGACACTCCCTACAACAAATCACCCTTATGTAACAGATAATACTCCCTACAACTGTACAACTCCTCACCCATGTGTAACAGATAATACTCCCTACAACTGTACAACAACTTACTCACAACAGATGACATTCCCTACAACTCACCCTGATGTAACGGATAATACTCCCTACAACTCTACAACAAATCAACCCACTAAAATGGAAAATTGGAAACTCAATAGTGAAATTTATTGAGCAGGAATTATTTTAAAATCTCATTTTGTCTCGTTCTCGTGGATCCAATCTCGTATCTCGTCTCGTCTTGTGGAAATTGTGTCATGTCATCTCTAATTATTCCCATTTATATTTTTACTCTTTGTTATTGTGATGTGTGAGCTACTGTGTCCAAATAATTGCCCTTGTGGATCAATAAAGTTTGTCTAAACATTATTATTGTGAGACCTTTGCCCTTTCACCACAATATTTCTGTTACATCTTTACAAATGAAGTCCTGCGGGAGACATCGATACTACAGATACAGAATATTCCCAGTGCATTGTAAACAAATAAAGGTAGACTTTCAGTCAAATTTAATAAATAATAGATTCTTGTATTCCACAGTCAGTGCAATCAGACTTGAATAGTGACTTCTACGTAAAAAAGTATATAATCTAGCAGTAAACAAAACAAAAACAAGGCTATTGAAAAACATCTACTACTTAAAATATAAATATTTTTGTGAACTGATAAATGAAATTCACTTTTAAAAGGTGCATTGTGTAACTTTTCTGGTGGAGGGTCCGTCACTTGCTGTTTCTACCTTACAAATATTCAATTACAAGTGGTTTTAAAGCTCAAAAATACCAAGAAAACAATGTTTGGACTGTGAATGGGGATGCCTCTCCACAGATCTGACCTGTGTCTTGGTCTGGTTTGGTCTTCATGAAGAGAGAAAGGTTTAATGCCATACTGTGACACATTCCAGACAAAGCAAATACACCAGAAAAGTTACACAATGCAGCTTGAGAATATATAATCTTTTCAAAATATTGGTATTATCGTTGTTTTTAATATTTCAAAATGTAAAAATGTAATTCAAACTGTGCACTTCAATTCCCCACTTCAACTCACCACATATTGTTTACTATTGAGCATAAATGAATTAAATATTGAAGCTACAGCACCAACACAATGTAAATCATATTTTTTGTAAACTAAAAAACAAAATTGGCTTTGAAAATGTATAACCTTTTCAAAATATTGGTAAAATTTCAAAATGTAAAGAACTGTACACATCAACTCGCACAAATGAAGGAAATACTTAAGATACTTTGCCAAAAATTATATTAAAACTACAACAGCATCACAATTTAGATATAAATAATATTGTAAACTAAAAAAATATTGGTAAAATTTCAAAATGTAAAAAACTGTACTGCAAAACACTCACGATATAACCACACATTGTTTCGTATTGAGTATAAACAAATGAAATACGTGGCCAAAATTATATATTTTGTGTAAACTAAAAAACAAAATTCGTTTCTAAAATGTATAACCTTTTAAAAATATTGGTAAAATTTCAAAATGTAAAAAACTGTACTGTAAAAAAACTTGTGATACAATGACAAATTGTCTAGTTTTGAACATAAATGAATGAAATACTTGAGAAGATACTTCGCCAAAATTATATTAAAACTACAGCTTCTTTTGTCAGCTTTCACCTGCTCAAAACAACATTACAGACAATTCAAAGTTTAGTTTTTTTTTCTGATTGGTCGTAATTTGGGACAAGAAAAGACCACAATTTCCTGTAACCTCGAATTAAACCGATAACGCGACATCTCAGCCTATAAGAAAACAACAAGAAAAACATCTAGAGTGAAGTGTCTTTGCCTGTCCTTTCCCTCCCTCGTTCCTCTCCTCCCCCTCCTCCCTCTGTACCTGTGGATCCCAGGAGAGAGGTCGGTGAGTCCGGGTCAGCCCCAGTGCATTGTGGGTCCTGTAGTCTCTTCGGAGAGTGTGTGGAGCGAGCATGTTTCCGAGTACGTCTGATGTGAAATGATGATAGACCGGTGCCTCAGACTCTCTCTCTCTTTCCTTTCCCTCCTCCCTCTCTTCCTCTCTTTCTCCCTCCTCTCCTCCTCCTCTCTTCTCTCACTCTCCTCCTCCTCCTCCTCCTATCTCTCTTCGCTCCTTCTGTCTTTATTTAAAGTTGTCACCTTTTAGCCTGCGCTCATTGGCACCTCTCGCTCCAAGAGA